AAGAAAAATTTATCTTTTCCAGTTTATGTACTTTCATTATTGAATTATTTGCTTTTTAATTTTTTTGCATATATATATATATATATATATATAATAATGGACTCTCCAGTCAGTTTCAACGTATGAGGATCTGACAACTTAATTGATTCAATTATGAAATTTTGGACAATAATCTTAAGTGACACTTAAGACCTGCTAGTGATTTACAAAGGAGGCTGCATATGGAGCAAGAGTAAGGATTGTTGGATGACATCACTGTTAGATTGGCTGACCTTTTAGATCTTGCTCTTGCAATATATATATATATATATATATATATATATATATATATATATGTTTTTTAAACATTATTTTTTATCTGAGTAGGCACTCTGTTTATATATATTTTATGAGCAACACTTATCTACTTTAAGTTTAAAATATTGCAGAAATGTATTTTTTAACACATCAGTAGCTCTTTATTTAAGCTGTTGATGTGATTGACTGCTTGATGACAAATGGATATTTATCTAATGTTGTTTTATGAGGGCTTTAGCTGTAACGAAAAACTTGAATATAAAGTGAGTATCTTTTATAAATAACTCAGTAATCTTTGAGATTTAGGAAAATATTCTCCATAATGTTTGTTTGATCTTGTTTCCTTAGATTTTCCATTAGGTTCTTTTGACGATCTTTCTTTGGATGATGACTGTTCGCTTGTTTGAGATGGGATAGAGTTTTGTTTATCTATGTCCATTTCGCTTGATTCTTCAATGATGGGTTCTGTTACTTTTTTTATGCACCTTTTTATTCTCTTGGGAATGTTTAGAGGGTTCTGTTTCTTGAAGGATTTTTGCACTTTGAATTGGGATTTTCAGAGTTAATTGTTTTGTACATAAAGATTTCTTTTTGTTTGAGGTTGAGATATAAAGATAAGAATTTGTTTTGTCTATGGGAGTTTGATTTATGTGTGATATACATTTAAGTAGTTCTATTAAACATTTAATTCATTTATTAGAGTTGTAAGTTCTCTTGGATGTTATTTTGGTGATTTGATATTTTAGCAATATTTGCATATGATATTGGAAGTGAATACGATTCAACCTGTTTTCTGGATTCTTGGAACAAGATGTTTTGCATGATTTTTCTTATTTCCTTTTTCCAGATGTTACACTCTTTGGAGTCTGCTGAGTGATATTTTTTTTTTTTTTTACAGTTTGGACATAAAGGAGGCCTTTCATAGGGTAACTCTTCATGATCAGACTCAACTTCCCCACATCTTCAACAGACTGATGCTCTCATACAAAGATTTTGTAGATGACCAAATTTCTGACATCTATAGGGATTAGGAATGTATGGCTTTACATTGTCTATTGAGTGTCATATTTCTTTAAGTAGGTTTGTTGAATTTCACCATGTATGTGTTTATTGATGTGTCGTTTCTTTTTTATTTGAATTCTTTTGATGTCTTTTACTCCTTGCTTTTTTATGGTGTCATCAATTTTAATTTCATCTGGTGAGCCGTGTGATATCTCTGGCCATTTTATTACTCCCTTAGATGAATTAAGAAATTGCTGGGAGTAAGCCTTTTCTTTATTGGTGTCTATTTGCTTGATTTTTAGTAATTTTTCTGCGTTTTTTTTTTTTTTTTTTTTTTTTTTTTACAGATTTTGGTTCACTTATGGCTGACATAAACCTTTGCAACACAAAAGAAGACACTTTTGATATATTGTCATCTAGTGATTCTTTAACTAGGAAGGTTTTTTTTTTATATTTTGTTTTCACTTTCTGTTTCAGTATATTTTGTTTTCACTTTCTGTTTCAGAAGTCTCATGTTGTTCGTTTATAAGAGATAGCCATATAATTTTGATTTTTGTATTCACCATCTGTGTTGCCCACCCATATTGGAGTTCTTTCTAAAGGGCTGCTATCTGGGGCTAATCTCATTTGCTCTGATCCACCAGGGCTACACAGATGGTATAGTTGTCATGAAAGTGGATATGAGCACCCACCTCCTCCCACCATATCTACCCAAGTATAGTATGGTGTAAGTATTCACAGCCATGTCGGAACCATTGTCTATCATCCCAAATATCCCTTGACACTATATGGATTAGGCTATTCCATCCATTTGTCTATCCCAGGTAGGGACCAAATTGACGTGTTGTGGACACTTCTGGTCAGTTAGGAGTCACTCAGTCACCAGGATTCTGTCCCCAGGTCTCCACCCATGACAAACTGGTCGCCCCATTATAGTTTTTGGGAATGTGCATTTTTATATATTGCAATTTGTATTGCTGGCACTTTTATTATAAAAACCCATCTTTACACTTTGTATTCAGACACCATTTTGGGGGAGGGGGAAACTATTTATCCATAACTGGGACCCTAACAGGTGGTACCACCTCAGGTCAGGGTGGACTTAGGAACGCCAGCAATTAAGAGGTGGTTCCATGCTCCTCAAAACCTCCTGATCAGTGGCCTTGCTGTTGGTCATAGTAAATGTCATTGGTCCTGACCTGGTATCTTGTTTTTAATCACTTTCTCATAGCTTCCCTGTGCCTTTTCTATATATACTTTCATGTTAATTGTTCTGATAAACTCTCCTCTATTATCCCTAGACTCTACAAATTTAAGTGCAGTTCTAGATTGGTAGCAAGATCTCACCATTTTACAGTTGAAATGGCAGTAAGTTCTATGCTAACAATTTCTTTTCTCACTTGTGGAACTGTCTTCTAGCTTTCTAGTCAAGGTCTTCAAAAATTGAAATGCATTGTCAATTGTTATCTTCAGTCTTCTTAATTTCTATTCTTTTATTGTTCTCACTCCTTAATAATGTTTTTCTTATATTCTTGGTTTCAATATGGCCTTCACTGAATGTTTCTTTTATTGGGGTGCTATTCCACAAATGGGTGTATCTGCTATGATGACTGCCAGGGTTGCAACTTCTTAGAAATTTCTTGTGTCACATTTCATCCTTTAGGATTTCATCAGGCTAAAGAGATGGTTGGTTTTGTTTAGTAGTATTTCAACCTCTATGGGTTATTTAATGTCAAAATCTAGATATTTTTAATACAATTTTATGACTTCAACTACAGATATTTTGTACATAATTTGATACTTTCAGGGCAACTGTATGTTTTTTTAGATATATAGTTTGTAGACGATAAAATGTATTGTTGGTCATTTAAAAAAAAAATCTATTGCTGTTATTTTACTATAACGAAAAAAGTTTTGATTTTTGTTTTAGGGTTTACTATTTACCCATAGTTGAGACCTTGCCAGGTGCTTCCGCCCCAAGTCAGGCTGAACAGTGGTTTCACGATCCTCAAAACCTCCAATCTCCTGAACAGATCCCTTGCTGCCAGATGTAGTTTATCATCATACCCAGGAATAGACTAAAGAGTGATTTCTGTTGATGTGACTACACAAAGGAGGTGGGGCTGAGAATTGTAAGTTTATTGGTATATAATCTAGCTGATTTCATTTAGTTTTTTTTTTTCATTTTATCACTTTTGTTAAATATCCCACATTGTGATAAGAGAAGATCTGTCAAGAAATTGTCCTTAATGGATATTTTTTTATTTATCTATATACATATATAAATATACTCTTAAGGTGTGCTATATTTATGGGATAAAGTGCTCCATATCAGAGATAGAGCATGTGTAAATATAGAAGTGAACATTGAAGTCAACACTTAGAGGTGACGGGCTGTTTCATGCTATACGCAATCATCAGGCCTGACGATTGTGCATAGCATGAAACAGCCAATCACCTCTAAGTGTTGACTTCAATGTTTATATATATATGCGCCAAAGGAAAACTTAGCAGACATGTTTTGTCCTCTGATGGACTTTATCAAACAAATGTAAGGATTTTATTTTGCAACAAGTAAAAATGTTATTAGTTTATCAAAATTTTTAAATTTAAGAGCTGCTCATAAATATTCATCAGGTTTAACTGAAAGTTTCGGTAAATTATGGAGGATACTAAATGACATAATTTAATGTCTAATAAATGAAAGTGAGTAAATGATGTCAAATTTTTTGATGCAATTAATATTTAAATTATTTTAGTATTGGATAAATTTATGTATTATATATTTTAAATAGCAGGAGATTACGAAATTAACACTTTTCTTTTAATTTTTTTTAACGTTTTTATAGTCATGTAGATTTGCTTGGGAAAAGAGTATTTTTTTTTCAGGAATGGAGATATTTGAAAATCTGAGGGTAAAGATTTATATATTGATAAGATTCAACAGAAGCACTCTTGAGAATTTTCTGTGTAAGTAAGTTATTTTCTCTTTTAATAAGTGAGGCATTCTTGTGGTTGAATTTATTTCTATGTATAACTAATGCATTTGATAAATTGTTGTGTATAAGATAGATATATTCTTTAAATTTCTGCAACTTTCCCCAATGTATTGTGAATAGCATTTGTGACAGTTTTAATTTTGTTTATAAATACTTGTTGCAAAATAAAATCCTTACATTTGCCTTGATGAAGTCCATCAGAGGACGAAACCTGTCCTTATGATGCTGGCCTAGAAGTTTTGTTATAGTCTTTCACTTTTTCTATACTCAAAAGTGCAAATGTAAGCATTTTCTTGCAGGCACATGCACCATAGAAGAGATAGAGAACATACACTCAGGCTCCAATGTTGCGTGTTGATGCTTAGAAAACTGAGCAATCAAGCAAGGTAAGACACAAAAGAAATTGATAACTGGATTAAAAATTTGGTATTTTAGCAAATAGGGGGAAATATATGAAAGCTTGGATAAAGAGAAAGTTAAGTCATAATAGAAAAAAAAAGAGCAGTAGTCAGAGGCATAACTAGAGTCAATAGCACTTTTTTTTTTAAACCAGTAAACTTTGGTTTTTCTGTTTGAATTCTTACATTGATGCTTGCCCCACGTGCAAAACCCTCTTGCACTAGTTACGCCACTGGCAATAGTAAGGGTAGTGGTATTAGCAGAAGAAAAAGTAAGGGTCATAGCAGTAGTATTGGTGCGTACCTTAAGCTGACCCTCTTTTTCCAAATTAGCAGGGGTCAATGCTTTGGTCATACCAGATTGGGAGTTTCCAGTATTTGTTGAATTGGAAGATTTCTTCTTTGACTGCAATACAAACAGTTTCTTGGATTATCAGCATTCTGTTAACTTTTGTATTCAGTCCTTTAAACTATTTTATTTGTCTTCTTTTTTATTTTTTACTCCCAATTCAGAACGTATATTAAAACAAAAAAACAAAATTAAATTTTTCTTTACAACCAATGTTGAGAAACCTTAACATAAATAAAATGGTTAGCAACATAAACTTCAAGTATGTAATATGTTTGTGCGCGCACACTCACACATAGCTTGATAAATGTTTCCTATTTCTTATATATAACATGTCTTAGCTTTATTAAAACATCGTCAGAGATCAAGAAAAAGGATGGAACTTTGGTATTTTCAATTTTGTTTGGATTAATTATCATTGGTCAGTCATGTACCATGTGCATTGAAATGGCAGATAATTCTGTATCTATGGAAGTTTGTAAAAATTTTAATGTTTAAGCAGGCATCAGATGGTAATGTATATTCATAATTGTGAATCTGTGTCTGTGTAATAGGAGTTCTAAAGTTTTTCCTTTTGTGTCATCAGTTGGTATAGTGGAGTGATGTTCTATTAGTCTCGTGCTGTTTTTATATATCTACTCTCAAGAATTAATGGATTTTATTTTAAGTTGACATTATTTCTTATTAATTCAAAACTTATTTTTAATGGATACTCTTTTTTTAAGCTGAACGAACCACATTATTAAACTGTGTTTACTACAACTACTGGCCTATGCATTTGATAAAACTGAAAGAAAATGTGCTGTCTGTATCCTCCTTTGTAGGAAAAACTACTTTTTGAACCGTGCCGGAGCACATAATTTTATTTATATATATATATATATATTCTAAACTTTATATATGTATATATAAAATTACAGAACAGAGAAATCCAAAATTACTTCATGCTTATAGTTTATTTCAGCTGACACCAAGTACATCGGCCTAATTCAACCCAGATGGTGGACTCCATTTAGTGTCGAAACTAGAGATTTAGAATTTAAATTGATACAGAACATACTCATATGGAAGCCTCAGCAGGACAGACTACCCAAGTAGTGATATGGGGTGAGCTGAAGTTACCTGTTTTAGGACCTATGTGGACTATATATCAATAAATTTTTAGCTGTACCATATATATATATATATATATATATATATATATATATATATATATATATATATATATATATATATATATATATATATATTTATATTTGTCTTACATTTATTTCAGAAAAGTCTATATGAATCTCTTGCTTTCAAACCATTCTGAAAATAAGATGAGAATTTACCTTAGGTTCAATACAGAAAAGCTGAGAGAATATATTAATAATTTTTGACATGAACTAGGAATTATAAAGAAAAGATACTTAAAAGTCATTCATTTTCTTTTCTTTCCTCATGAGAAGTACTAATTATTTAAGCTTATACACATTTATATTTGTTTCTTTCATTTTCGGATCTGATGAAGCCTAGAATGGTGAAATCAAATCTAGTTTCAGTGAAATGATTTTCCATGCGTCAAACTTCTTAAAAACTTCATCAGGATTCCATATCCTATTTTATACACAGATACACACACACATTATATAAAGTTGTTCACATGTTTTGTAGTTATAGAAGTTTAGGTAGCAAATACATATACCCAGTATAAAGGTGAGATAAACAATGAAATGACTAAGGATAAAGAAAGCTGTGAACATTTACCTGCAAAACACTTTTTTTATCTGATGAAACGTCTCCGTTGCTTTTAGGCAGATTCGTGGTATCCAAAAGTTCAAAACACTTATCACATACCCGGTTGAGTTTGTTATCATCGTAGGAAAGTGGCACTTTTTTAGATGAGCATTTGGCACAGACAACCTTTAGAAAAAAAAAAAGTTTCATATTCTTTAACAAATCTAATTTTAATAAATTAAGAAAATATAAGGAAAGAAAAATTGTAAAATTTATTAAAAAAAAATATGCTTGAGGAAATTAAGGTTTGGTTTGTTTTATTTTATTGTATGGCATACCAACCTCAATGGGTTATTTAATGCCGACAAGTTTTTTTATTACTGGTAATAAATTTTTACAAAAATGTATTGCTGGTATTAAAATCTATTTTTACACATTTTGACCTCAGTTTGGGGTTTAACTATTTGCTCATAGCTGGGACCCTGACAGATGCTACCACTCCAGGTCAGGGTGAACCTGGGAACACCAGCAATTAAGAGGTGGTTCCACACTCCTCAAAAGCTCCTGATGAGAGGCCTTGCTCTTGGATGTAGTTTATCATCATACCCAGGACACAGAGTTACATGTAGAAGATATTTTTGCTGTTATAATTCTGTTTGTTTCTTCACTAGCACACATGTTATACTTTGCCATCTTATCGCTTATATCCCTTCTTGTGAAGAAGATAGTGTAACATAATGTTACATGATATATACCAAATTTTCATATTCCCATTTCTCTAAAAGGCAGCTTTCATTCTGATACAGGAAATAATAAAGGCATGACATGCTGCCAACCACAAAGTCTGGGATGAGCAGAAGGCTTCTGATAAGGCCATATCATCCATGGCCAAGGGAAAGAAACATTCTAAGCAGCCAGATGCTGTAAAGAAAGTTAATTTTAGCCAGCTGACAACAGCAACTCAATTAAGGTGATTACCAAACAGCTCACTGTGGTGGAGTCTGTTATTAGACATTGGGAATGAGTTCAAATCCTACCTGATGAGAGAGTGGTTCATATCTAAAACCTGAAAGCACTGGGTGATCAGATCAGACAAGAACTCAAGCATATTGAGGAATTATATTTGCTCAAGTAGAAGGTGAACAGGAGGAAATGATAGTCCTGGGGTTCATAAAACAAAAAGGGCCATGGTCATGCCACCCTAATTCTTATCGTATCTCAGGGTCAAGCCCTGAACTGATAGTTAAGGAATCAACCAATGACCCATGAGAAGCTATATATGTATTTAAGCAGGACTTTGCTCCTTCAAATATGGCCTCTTATGGTCAAATTACAGTAGCATCAAATTCAGTCAATATGGGGACTGCATATTCTGTAAGTGGACTCCTACAATCTGAAATATGCTTTGGTTTTAAATAATCTACAAAGGGTTGATAAGCCACAAAATAAATCAATCATAACTCAACAGTGGCTAGTCAAAAACTTTCATGCCACATTAACATCTGGTCTCCTAGCTATCCTGATTGATATCCCCCAGGTCGACTGTCTGCAATGTTTTCAAAAGTGAGAACAACCAGTGGCCTCTACAATATCAAGCACTTATCAAAGGATGAATGAACAACACCTTGATCTGAATATACAGTCTCTTCCAAGTTTGCAGCAAGACCATACTGAGAGCAGTTTTAATAAATAACATGTTTTTGAACTTGATCACATGTACAAATTAAAAAACTTGTACCCACCCACAGATTACATAATTTAAAAAATAATATATTTATTGTTTTAAAAGATTTATAATACAAATATTAAAATCCTTTTATGGTAAAAATATCTCGGAATATATCTGATATGGGTATCTACTGTTGCACAGTAATTTTCAATTTATTAGTATAATGACTTCAGTCCTCACTGGGTGGCTCCATTATGTCCTTGTACCACTGACAAATATTCAGATGAGTGCCACGTTTTTGTTCCACCAGTTCAGAACTTTACTAACTCCCATGGAGTTGAAACACCCTCATTTCCCCAGTGTTCCAATGGAAAGAAGTAAATTTGACTCAAACAGGTTTTTCTCCAAAAACTGACACTTTGTGGAAGAGATTCTTGGTATGTGTGTTTCTGTAAACTATGATCAAATTATGGACCCTTGACTTGAAGAAGATATCTATCTTCCTTATCATCTTCACTTCCTCTTTCATTCATATCACAAACATCCTTCATTATAACCATTTTAATAGTAACCCTCTACCTTGAGTGGCTTTCAAGAAAAATTGTTAAGTTAAGCTTAGTATCTGTCTGAATTATTATTATTATTATTTACACTATTTATATTCAGACTATTGTCCTGATCTTTGTTGTTTATATTTTTTTTGGCCACCATGCCCTCCTCAAGTGTATATTGATCTGGGTACCCTACAGCAAATTCTGAACTGAACCACTTATTTAATCTCTGGGGAAAAACTGTTTTCATTCCACTGCCCATGCCCAGGGATATCGACTAGTTCTTACTTATGGAACTGCTCAGTTATTTTTCATTCATTTCTACTGAGTCCAAGTACACACTGCCTGGCCCAGGGATTGAACTCACAATTACTATGTGACCAAATTCACAAACCAATGCTTTAATCCACTGAGCCATTGTCTTTGGTTTGTTTTGGCATATCAACCTCAATGGATTATTTAATACTGACAAAATTTTTATTGCTGGTATATATATATATATATATATATATATATATATATATATATATATATATTTTTTTTTTTTTCAAAAATGTATTTCTGGTAATATCTTTTTTTTTTTTTTCAGATTTGCCCATAGCTGCAACCCTAATAGGTGCTACCACCCCGGGTCAAAGTGGACCTGGAAACACCAGCAATTAAGAGGTGGTTCCATGCTCATCAAAAGCTCCTTGCTGTTGGACATAGTTTATCATCATACCCAGGATGGCATTTTCTCGAGGAAAATGTGTGTGTGTGTGTTTGTTGGGTGGTGGTTCATGTCATGGAGTAATGTTTAGCAAATTTGTTTTTATTAGTTTAAAGACATTGATTCTCACTAGGTGTCCTGTAGTTAGTCTGATGCAAAGTCACAAGTTTAGTAAGTATCTGTATGATATCAACATAATATCAGACTGGGAAAATATTACTGTCATAACATGTTGTATTTGGAGAACAAAAGTCATACTTACGTTACCACATCCCCTACAATGATGTCTCCGCCGGAAAGTTGTGAACTGATTGTTACACAGCATACAACTTGTTGCAGCATCGTCTTTCACCCAGGTTGGTGCACGCTTACCAACTTCATCTTCCTAAAACAATCAAGATAAAAATCATTTTATAGTGACCAGTACTCTCTACCTGTCCAATAATAGTTGATACATTTAGTAGATGAAAAATAAATGCAAACCGAACAACTTTTATGGGACATTATTATTGTTTTAAAAGTAGTTGCAACAAATTTTATAAACAAGAAATACATTACTATTTATTGATTCCTTGGGAACCTCAACAATGGGCAGCAATCTTGTTTCACTAGAACAATTACGACTTAAGTAGTGAGTTTGATCCTCACTGAGTGCCCCATACTTTCAGCATTATTTGACATCTAAGCTATGCTTAGAAAATCAGCAGGGCACTTTAACGTGTTGCAATGGCTAAGCAGGTTCATCTCACTAGACTGATTCTCACTGGATGCACCATGCTTTCAGCCTTGTGCCACATTTAAGCTACACTTATTATTTATCACATACATACATTTATCAGCATCATGTTAAACTGCATTGATAATTATTTAATACAAAATTCTTACTGTCTATATTTCTGAGATGAGGTATTGTTTTTTTTTTTTTTTTTTAAGCATTTCACCCCAAGCAAGGCGGGAAGCCACTAGGACGCAAGGGGTTACAGAAAGTTTAGAGCAAGATCAGATAGGAGTGATAGAAGAAAGGATGAGGGTAGTGGATAGATCAAGGCAACTGGAGATGTCGATTGACATTACACATGAATAGCTGGAGATTATATCTCACAGGGAAACAGGAATAGGGAAGGGAGTTCCACAGGCGAGAGGTGCGAGACATGAAGCTATTAGAGTAGAAGAGACGGCTACATTTAGGAGTTTCGACAGTGAAGGGGTGAGAGTGGGATGCCAGCCTCGTAAGGCGCTGGAACTCTGGGAACCAGCGAATGCAGCTCCTCGGAGCAATTACCATGAAAGTATTTGTAGAACAGACAGAGGGAGGCGACGGCGTGTCTGTAAGTGACTGTAGACGAGACGCCAGGGCAGGGCCAACTACATTGCATATCTGCCTCTGGAGCCTATCAAGAACCCTGAGGCAAACAGAAGGGGCACCAGACCATATATGGCAGCAATACTCCATGCAAGGACGAATTGTTGATTTGTAGATCTGGAGGATCAACTCCAGGGAGAAAAACTTCCTGGCGCGGCTCAGGGAGCCAACTTTCCTTGTGGTGGATGAGGCAATTGACTCAATGTATTTATTCCATCTCAGGTCAGCAGTCAACGTGAGACCGAGAAGCCGCAGAGAGTTGCTCTCGAGAAGTTGAGCATCAGACATTCTAATGGAGGGAAGGGAAGGATCTCTGTGGTGATTAATAGAGAGCAGTTTTGTCTTAGAAGCATTGAAGTTGACCAGCATTATTTACATTATTCGGACTATTGTCCTCATCTTTGTCGCCATATTTATCACAACGTTTTGGCCGTTGTACGCTCCGGCCTTCTTCAGGTGGTTGGAATGTTGACAAAGATGAGGACAATAGTCTGAATAATGAAAATTCTTACTGAAGAACAACTAACCTTAAAAAACTGTTAAACTTTGATATGCAGTGTCCCTTCAAGACATAGACGATCATGGCTTTCCATAACTTCCCGTTCTTTGTAGTACTTGATAAATTTTGTCTTTTCACCATCTCACCCAAACCCTGCTCCACCACCATTCACTCAAACTCACCAGGTAGGTTATGCATTGTTTTCTTCTATCCCTCTTGCCTTCAATCTGTCTTGTGAGTATCAAATTTTCCAAGTACTCTTTCCTCATTATGTGCCCTAGAAATTTCAACAGCCTCTTCCTGATGTTAAGTATAAGTATCATTTTTGTTTCCATTGTCCATGCTATCCTTAGCATCCTCCTGTAGAACGACATTTCTGTTGCTTCAAGTTACTTCTTCATCTGTGAAGAGATTGTCCAGCATTCACTGCTGTATAGTAGAACTGATATTACGTAACAGGTCTGACACTCAAATACCCTCGGGAAAGGTATGAATACACCTCTCCCTCCAGCAATGAGTTAAATAATAGGACTTGTATCTGTAAAATCATTGTTATTCTGCAAAAAATTGTTAATGCAATATTCACTCAGAAAAACAAAAATTTCTTACAATCCCAAATATGTTTTGGTTTGTTAATAAACTGTAAAAAATGAATCAATCAACGCACAGATAGGGGTACTTCAACATGGTGTAATGGTAAGCAAGCTTGTCTCGCTAGATCAATTATGACTGAATAGTGAGTTTGATCCTCACTGGGTGCCCCATATTTTTGGCTTTGTGCCATATCTAAGCTATGCTTGGGCACCTTGAGGTGGTGTAATGAATAGTCTTGCAAGAAAAATTATGACTGAGTAGTGAGTTCAATCCTCACTGGGTGCCCTCTGCTTTCGGCCTTGTGACAGATCTAAGCTATACTTGGAAAATTGCTGGAGCACCTCAAGAATGTATAATAATTAACAAGCTTGTCTTGCTAGAACAATTACGACTGAGTAGTGAGTTCAACCCTCACTGGGTGACTCCTACTTTCAGCTTTGTGCCACATCTAAGTTGCACTTGGAAAATCACTATACTACAGATAGATAGGCATAAAAAAAGTTTATCAATGAATAACTGTACTTACATTAGGCAAATCTTGTGCTTGTTCCAGCGCCCGCATCGTCTGCTTCCGACTGTTGAATTCATTAATCACAGAACTCGTTGACTGAAAGGTAAAAGAAAAACATTGAAGAATATTTTAATTTATTCCTTTGTTCCAGAGAATGGTATAAAGCAAAAACAGAAGAAAGCAAAACACAAAAATATGACTTTAATCAAATGAATTGCACAAATAAGAAAAATTAATGAGGGCGAGTCAAAATGTAAAGTAATTTTTGTCATGGGTGTGGCACATTTCTTAATGAAATTAATCTGAACCTGCTCTAACCCAACTTCCATGGAAAGTGCTCAGACAAACTTCATTCCATGGTTCCACCATTTTTAACCTTCATCGCTAGAACCCACCATGCCATCCACATTGTAGCAAACCACCCACATTCCCTCCATGTTCTATTGGTGAGAAGTAAGTTCCACTTAAACAACTTCTTCCCACAAAGCACTGCTCTGTGGAACTGACTCCCAAGTGGCTGCTTCCTTGATCACTACAATCTTAACCTTTTCAGGTCTAGGGGTAACCTTTATCTTCCCCACATAAACAGTGTCTCTTACTGTGTAAACCTAGAGTGGCTCTCAGGCCTTGTACATGGTGCTTCTTCCCACAAACCACTGCTCTGCGGAACTGACTCCCAAGAGGATGCTTCCTTGATCACTACAATATTAACCTGTTATCTTCCTCACATATCTGTTGTCTCTTATTCTGTAACCCTCTGCTGCCAGTGGCTCTCTCTTGATCTTTAATTATCTCATTTATTTTTCATATATTTGAATAAATGGGCTGATATGAAAATGGATGTCCTGCTGGAAGCCTGCCAGAAGCAAAGATCAGTAATTGACTTCTTTGTTGCTGAAGGAGAAACTCTTGTAAACATTCACAAAAGACTCTTTGGTCGAGTGGAAGCAGCACTGAAGAGCAAACATTATAGTGGTGACGAAGTGAAAACTCCTGTAAGGAACTGACTACATCAGCAGTCAGCTGAGTTTTACGAGGCTAAGATACATGCCCTTGTCCATTGGTGGTACAATGCCATTGAAAGAGGTGATGACTATGTTGAGAAGTAGGGATGTGAAACCAGGATGTATAGCTGTATCTTGATGTATGATATGTTTGATTGTGTTCCTTATTTCTTACAAAATGAAATAAATTCCATTACTTTTTGACTCAACGTTGTAGGTTAAATAAAAAAAAAAAACAACTTCCCCTTGATCTCTCAGTATTAAAAGGACACTTCACCCAGTGTAAGAAATTATTATTTTTTTTTTAATGCCATATCCCTTCAGGAGATCATAATATTCCACAGCTTCCTTTTATTTATTAAATATGAATTACCAAAACTTCTTGGAAAAGATGGTGAAATGATTTACCACTGCCTTCTCCATGGTTTTGAATACAGAATAAACCGTCCATTACATTGGCTACCACCCAAGGCTAGAGAGTCCAGTCTACCTTGCTATATAACTTATAGATATGAGAAATAATTAATGACTTCAATTCACACAGAGCACCAAGTTTAAGCAAATGGATGCAGGACCATTGCAAGGGTCTTGTGATCTCCAACCTCCCCCCCAAATCTATGATACAGAGCCCTCCATTCTACTACATGTTAATTGTATTCATATAAAATAGAGATTTTATTTTAACCTCATTATGTACAATAATGGATCATACGCAATATAGGTGAACAATTCAACTAGAAAAATTGAAAATAAGTACAATGTATCTAAATACAAATTAGAGACTTGTCATAATAGATCATTCCATCTTAAATAAATCAACAATATTTGTCCAGTAAAAAGTTGAATAATTTTAACACATTCAACATTATAGATAAAAAATAGTCAATTTATATTGGGAATTTTTTGAGACTTAGCATGAGCAAAACAAATTCATGAATTTTTTGAGACTTAGCATGAGCAAAACAAATTCATGAATTTGGGCGAAAAAAAACAAAAAAAAACCCAAAAAGAACCCAGAATGACATTGACATCAAAATCCATAAAAAATCTTTTAATATTTAGTTGTGCTTAGTTTAACTTGTAACATATATAAATGTAGGTAGAAAAAAAGAAAGTGTTGGTAAGATAGAAGGGGTCCCCACTCAGGCCAGCCCCCCCACCAGGTCAGAGGTTTCAAAAGTAATACACCTGGTCCTGAATGGATGACAAAGAGAAATAATCAAGCAACTAAGGACATGAAACTTTCTGTCTGAATTCTTTGAATGAGGAATTATAATTATTTATATTATTTACATTCAGACTATTGTCCTCATCCTTGTTGTGATAACAAAAACAAGAAACTGTTTAGGTTTGTTAATTTAACAACATACCAAGAGATGTAATCAGTATATTCTAACACCCACCAATAAGGCCAAAGAAATTGTGGAGAGACATGATCGCCCATGTCCTAAATTAATAGGTTATTTGACGTTGAATATATTTTCTAATCAATTCATTCCAAGCAAGTGGATAATACCACTAAGATGCAAGGTGATAATGCCACTAAGATGCAAGGTGATAATGCCACTAAGATGCAAGGGAGTGAAAGAGAATGAAAAGACTTAGAAGAAACAAGAAATCCAGTCCTAAACTGGATATCTACTCCTGTAGGCCTGTGAATCAGACGTTAGTTAGGTCAACCTATTTACTCCTATTGAGGAAAACTAAATAAATAACAAATGAAATTTTAGAGTTTAGAAATATTAGTAGTATAAACTTAAAGTAGACTTTATAAGGAACTGGAAAGCCAATCCTCAACAGGAAACTAGGGATAAACCTCTACTCCTGTTCAAAAGACTGGGAAGAAGTTTGAACTGGACTCTAGGTGAACCTATCAGTTTTATAAGACAAAAATCACAATGAATTAATAGATAGATAAATAATGGTTGGGTTTACACCTGAGTCAAAAGGTAGACATAAGTCCTGTGCAAATATCTACCCAGAAGACAGACCCTTTTGATAGGTGTCTTACTACTCTGTAAGGAATGTAATCAGTATATTCTAATACCCATCAATAGGTCAAAAGAAATTGTGGAGAGCCATAGTCGCCCATGACTTAAAAGGACATATATAAAATAGAAACTGACAAGGAAAACAACAATAATAATCATACATAGAAATTATAAGCTAAACAGGATTATCAATGCAGTTTTTTGTTGGGGAAGGGATGCAGGAGTGTTACTTACCATATACCAACTATTTGATTCTTCTAATTGTCCACTGGAAAGAAAAGAAAATATATTGCTAATTTAGTGGATAGAATTTTAAAAACATAGAAATAATACAAAATAATGTTTAAAAGTTCTCAGCCGAAATGAAGCCTGAAATTTTTTTTTTTTTTTAAAATACTCGTTGGTTAGGTTGAGAACTTTCCAGATATTTTTATTTATTAATATTTACTTATTATTTGTTGTTACTGCTGCTGATACAGCAGCAACAACTATTATTATTATTACAACGACTACTAGTAATAATAGAAGATAGAATTCTCTGTACAAGAGGTAATTTTATCCAACATCACAAATAGCTACCAAACTAAAACATTAACCTGAAAAGTCAAGTTCTTAAATCCTCACATCAGATCATGATTTTCATATAAATGTCATGCATCATGCCAAACTTGTTCAAAATATCTAACTCTTCTCAGACCAATGGTTCAAAATGGCAGATCTTGGCAAAAGACAATCCTTGTACCAGATAACAGAAAACACATCACTTGAGGACTTTCAACAACTAAGCAAGAGTCCTGATGGATGAGTGAAAAATTCTGAAACTCTGAATCAACCTTTGAACCTCATTATATTTAATAATATATATATAAAATGTATATTTTGGCAGCAACCTTTTTTCAAACATTTCATTAAATACAGCCTACAAAGAAGATTGAATTAATTTTTTTAAAGTTTTTCCAGCATCCTAACATTTTCTGTTTTGTAGGAGTTTAAGGAATATAAAAATTGTTTATAATTTTTATTGTCCCAACTGCTTTTGGCCACTTCTATAGCTATTTTCAAAGGGGTTTTGTCTCTGGTGTTGTTATTTTTTTCCTTCATGTTTTGACTGTTACATTGGAAATTATGTTAATGTAGTTTTCTTTTTTTTTGAAAAAGGAGCATTCATTCCAAGATCTCACATGCCACATGTGACTGGAATTCATGAAAACATCTTTCTATTTTTATTTTTATTAAATCTTTCAAGACTCCATTTCCACTATTAAGTAATGTAAGGTTGATGGTAGGAGAGAATATTTTGATGCATAGGGCCTCTCAAATAGCAAGATGATTCTGATAATGTGATTTGTATAGAATTCCTCTATTTTCAACAAAAATTTTCCTTAAGGGTTCTTGTAGATTATAGATTAATAAATGTTTTTTTTTATGGCATTATGGTCACATAAGAGACTCAGAAGGCGTCTACTCAAGGAGGTGGTAGTGTGTCTGATATAAGTATTTGATTTGTGACAAGAAACACAGTCTTGTACAGGGCAGTGAAATTGATACACTATATTGCTTATCGCTAGTTTAAATTTAATGGGTTATTTTGATTTGTGACAACAAGGTTTACGATCTTCCATTTCCTGTCATACATTATAAATTTGACATGTTTTTCAGGAATTACAACAGAAATATGTTTAATAATTCTTTGTAATGAAATATATATGTGTGTGTGTGTGTGTGTGTGTGTTTTGAACAATAAAAAATATTAAAAAATTAAAATTTACTGAGTTATATATTAATATTATTTGTTTTATTATTTCAATTAGGTTTCTCGACTAGTTTTGCCCAGCATGGCCATCATCAGGAGAATAAAATATCCTTTCTTGTTAGTAGCAATGAACAAATGACTGTTTCTAAAGAAAGTGAACTTTATCTGTAGTTTTCATTTGTCTTTTTATTGTTAATTTTGGTCAGCCCTTGTGTTGGTCAAATTTTTTATTGTTAATTTTGGTTAGCCCTTGTGTTGGTCAAACTTTTTATCGTTAATTTTGGTCAGACCTTGTGCTGGTCAAACGGACTTTTTCAAGTTGTTTTTAAGATAGAGAATGAGAGATTCTGACTAAGAATTCCTTCTTTGGTCATTTTGACAGTTTTATTGGTTGCTGGGAATAGGATGTGTGTGTTAAGTGTATGTTATCTTTTAGTTCTTTGGAAGTATGTGTGTATATTAGTATGAGTGTGTGTGTGTGTATAAGTGTGAGACCTGTATATATTAAACCATTCACAGATTTTACACTTTGAGACAAGACAGAGTGTTAGGGAGCAACACTTTGATCCCAGGCAGAATACACTGATCATTGCCAGACTGTTAAATAATTCTGTTATTTTTTTGTATGGGTACTATCAGTCAGTTATGTACCATGAGTGATACACTCTTATGTGATCATGTATCTTTCGATACATGACTGAAGAGGCAGATTTTTTCCTGCAGTAGGATGCCATTTCTTTCTGCGGTATACCAGTTGCCAACCAAAGCTATAGAACCTGGTCTGTCTTGCTATTTACCGATAGGTGGGGAGAGAAGAAGAGGATTCATACCTTTCCCATGGGTACTATACTAATTTTAAAGTCAAAATAATATCTTAAATGAAAATTTTACTTACTCATTTAATAATTCTATTGTTTTCTGTTTACTCCTCACATAAAAAGCATTTGGAATTTCAGCTTCTTTCACCTGCAAAAATATTCAGAATAATTTACATTTCACATACAATTAAAATGTTAATCACTAATTAACAAAATATAATTATCTATCCAACAGCTAACCAGAAAATTATTAAACAAAAGCAACATTGATTATATTTAATAGTATATATAAGACCCATCAGCATATGTTTCTTGCATTTGCTGCTAAGAAAGTTGGCTCGCTGTGATGTGCTGCATAATATTTTTCGCCAGAATCTATCTTACATATTTATAAGTCGAACATTTGTCTATGCTTTGAATATTGCTGCCACATCTGGTCTTGTGCTCCTGTCAAATGTTTAAAGATTCTTGATAAAATCCCAAAAGATTCTGCAATGTTATTGATTCTGACCTGGCATCTCAGCTTCAGTAACTTTCTATTTTAGAAAAATATAAAAAAAAATATTGTTGTTACTGGAATTTTATCTTTGTTTCTTATTTACTACAGTTCAAAACAATTATTATTTTTTTTTTTTTTTTTTTTTTCTTTTTTTAATCGTTTCCCCTCATGACAGTAAAGCCACAAAGATGCAAGGGATTATTGAGAGTGAAAGAGTCGGGGAAAATCATTATTAAGGCAAGAGAACAGTAAAGGAACTGGCACTAAGAAAACAGGAGATAATGATTGCTATTGTATTTAAACTTTTGAAGGTCATAGTTGACTAGAAAGCAAGAAGCTGGAAGAAGGTTCAAGTAAAAAGTGTGAGAAAAGAAACTGTTAGCATAGAACTTATCGTTACATTTAGTAATTTCAACTATAATATAAAGCGACCTAGCTAGTACTGCATTTAAGTCAGAGTACCAAAGAAAGCTCATCAGAACAATTGCCAAAATTTTTACCAGTTCAAAACCAGCTTTTTTGAATTTTCAAAATTATTTGTCACAGTTCAAAACTGATTTCTTTGAATTTTTCAAATTCTAAACACAATGCTTTCCCCATTGAAAGTGCAGGCCTGATGGCTATCCACAGTGACGTGGAGAAGGCCTGTATTAATAATGGATAGCCCTCTGAAATCTTTCTTTATGTAGTTAAGAAATTCTAGTTTTGAAATGAAAAAAAAAAAAAAACATGGCTCTTATACAGGAAAGAGCTGAAACTTGCAAAAAATCTAACCAAATGACCATACATCAGAATTTGTTTTGGTTAGGCCAAGAAATTTTCAATACCCCTTCATTTATCAGGAAGTATGACAAGTTAATAATTTAGGTTACTATTGAATAAAAAGCATTTGTCAATATATTGGATTCCAACAAAAGTTTGAATTTCATTTTTAAAAAACAAAGACAATATTTATATATTTGTACATGGATTTATTCAACCATACATGTGCCATCTTGTTTCCCTGACTTTCACTATCTTTGCACCAGCTTTATGATTTTATCCTCCCACAACTTGGAATCTTTCTGGGTCTCCCAGACCAAAATTTCAGCTTCTGAATGTTGTGAACCACTTACAACCCATACTCTCAGCTATGGCACCATCTTCACAAATGGCACATGTCTTTTTTTTTTGTCATTTATACAGAAACAAATGAATGAGAAACATGCATCTAATTTTCCTCCATTTTTATTTTTTGTAAAGACATTTAAAATTCACAATCTACACACACAAATATAGGAAGACATTGAATTCTCACCATTCAGCAGATGCACATATGTCATAAATTTCAGTCATGCGTGAAATGAAATCCTGCATTCAAATGCCATCTATTGACTAATATTTGTTCCAACTCAATATTTGATTTTTTTCAGGGTATTCTCACCATTCAGCAGATGCACATATGTTATAAATTTCAGTCATGTGTGAAATGAAATCCTGCATTCAAATGCCATTTATTGACTAATATTTTTTCCAACCCAATATTTGATTTTTTTTTCAGGGTAAAAGCAGGAAATTAACATATTGATGGCTACTGTAAAATCAGTATTAATTATAAAAATTAAAATAAAAGTCTGGTATTACTTAAAGGTTTCTTAAAATCAACCTGATATTAATTAAATGCTTATAAAAAATCCAAAATTAAATATAGGTTTCTACTTCAAAACCAGGGGTTCCCAACCTTTTTTTGTGTCATTGCCCACATTTATATGGAAAAATTTTCTGCTGCCCCTACCTGTATAGTAAATATTCAAAAGCATACCCAAATTGTTTGGCAAAAATTTGTTCTTTTATATGCCATGTCCCTTCAGGACGTAGACGATCATGGCTCTCCCATCCTCCTATCCCTTGTAGTTCTCAATATATTTTGTCTTTTTGCTACTTCTACCAGGCCCTATTCTCTAATCCACTTGCTTAAGCCCGCTACATTTCTTTCCCTTCTCTCTATTTTGCTCTATCCACCCTGTGAGTATCAGATTCTCCAAGTCCTCTTTTCTCATTACATGTCCCAGAAATTTCAGCTGCCTCTTCCTGATGTTAAGTATAAGCTTCCTCCTTGTTTGCATCCTCTCCAAAACCTCATCACACACTCAGTCCATGATATCCTTAGCATCCTTCTGTAAAAACATATCTCCGTTGCCTCGAGCCTCTTCTTCAGCTTTGAGGAAACCGTCCAACATTTGCTGCCATAAAGGAGGACACATATCACGTAGCAGTTCAGTACTTTTTTCTTTCTGGTTTATAAACTGACTTTATGATGTTGTAAAAATAACTAAGGGAGGTAACAAATAATGTTGACTGATACTGCTATTAATAACATAATAAAGAACAAATAAAAGCCAACTTGAAAACTATATATATATATATATATATATAATATATATATACAGTGCTGTTCGATAAAAATGACTCACCTGATTTTTTTTTTTTTTTACTAAATGTTCTCTTCTCTGATAAAATGAAAGTTGAGCTAAATTCAAAGGATAAGTGATCTAAAATCCGAAGAAGAAGCTTTGAAAGCTCTTTGAATTTAGCAGTAAGTAGTCAAGCATCCGTTCAGTATAATGTTCTGGGGATCGTTTTATTTTCATGGAACTGGTTTCTTAAAACTTGAAAAGACCCTCAGGAGCGAGTAGTACAAGAGAATTTTTGAGTCTTGTCTGCTCCCTTCTGCTGAAAGTGTGCAAATTGACCCCCACCAAGCTCATTTTTATGCAGGATAATGCTCCCTGTCACAAATCAAAATTGATGAAGGAATACTTTGATGAGAAGCAGTTGAGTGTTATGACATGGCTGCCCCAATCTCCTGACCTCAACCCCGTAGAAAACTTATGGAGCATTATAAAGTACATGCTCCATAAGTTTTCTATAAAGTTGAGGTCAGAAGATTGGGGCTGCCATGTCATAACACTCACCTTTTATCGAACAGCACTGTATATAATCTAGTTTTAAAGGTTAGCATTGCAAGTATTGACAAAAAATGAAACAATTCATGTTCATAAATATAAATTAAAAAGAATATACTCTACTAGCAAATAATTTTTTTTTTTGTTGTTCTTAGTCTTGACCTCATCTGATTTATATCCGAAAAAAATGTTATTTCATCTAAAGAACTATTTGAATGTTAAATCAATAGAAAATATCAAAATATTCATCATTTGTTGGGAGATTTACAACTTATCTAAGAATTTGTCCCAATATCTCTCTTTAGATCAGAGATGAGGTATTATGATTACTTACATTATTTGGACTTATCCTCATCTTCATTCCCATATTCACAATGTTTCAGCCATTGTACACTCCGGCGTTCTCCAGGTGATTGGAATTTTGAACCAAACCCTCAATAGCCCAGTGGATAAAGATGTTGGTTTGATCCAGTGACTTGACCAAAAGAGTCATGAGTTCAATACCAGGCAACAGCAGTAGAGAACAAAACTTGGAGAGTTGAGTTAAAGACAAATAACTGAGGCACCCAGAAGAGGCATGGCACGTGGAACTAGAACAATCTACCCCGGTGGATGAAATAAAAGGTTTGGTTTGAAATTCCAATCATCTGAAGAAGGCCAGAGCATACAACAGCCGAAACATTGTGAATATGGCAATGAAGATGAGAATAACAGTCTAAATAATGTAAGGAATTTGACCCAATTATTCCCATTTATAAGCCTCCTGTTTTTTTTTGTTCTTTTAATTTTTGGTCCTTTGCATATATCTTTTGAATATTTCTTTTTCAGGTAGCATATATTGAAATATACTTTTAATGCTCAAAATCATATATCACTCACCAAAATTTCCAATCGCACACCATTTTCTGTTCAGCTGCTCATCACCCACTAGTGAGTGATACCACCCAAGTTGGGAAACCCTGTAGTTATGGAATACGAAGAATAATGATGATGATGATGATGATTCATCCCAGTGTACATGGCCTGGCAGGTCTTAGCAACAAAAGTCAGCCCTCATGAAAGTAAGGAATGCATTCTTTTTCAAGGCCTCTCAATTTCAATATCCTTATTGTTAATTTCACTCAAAGTTGTTTTCTGCTGCCATAGCAGGGTATGACAACACAACTATGAAATTCAAAGGCACTATTGTTCAGAGATCAGAGTCACCTTCAGTGAAAGGATAAATTTTTTATACAGTAAATGAAGTCACATATAGAGTGATAAATGTTAATGGCCCTTCTCAAAACTATAGTGATGTAATGGAATAACCAGTCACCCCCATGAATGATTTCCCTATAGGTAGTAAGTACCTATAAAGTCAACTCTCTACAAAAGACTGGGAGGGGAAGTGTGAGAACGAGACGACGCAAACACATCTGACCTTCTAATTAGTGGCACTCACTACTAGATTGACCTGTGTGTATAACTTTACCATATTTCATATTGTTACAAGATATCTTTCCCTGCTTCGATAAACGGAAGTTACCATCACGAGTCCCCGACTTGAAATGAAAACTGCACGTCTACGCATAGGCTTGATGCAGATACTTCTGTTTGGGATAAACTCAAAAAAAAAAATGAAAGAATTAAATCAACCAATCGGACCGTCTCCCGCGTAGTCAAAAAATTGACATTTGGAGCCGATAGGCATGTATAAGTTCAACACGGGAAAGTCAAAAGAAGTCCCATTCAACGGCGGAGGTAGAAGGGTCATGTCGCTCACTCCTGACACACTGGCCCGGCGACAAAACGAAGCATGTGACTGCTGCTGCTAATGAACTCTCGTCCGACGCTTTGTCAAAGGGTACCTTTCCCCTTCCATAAGTCAAGTTAACTCCACGAACTTTACTTGCCACTAGCATAGACACTCAACTTCTTAAATATGAACCTTTTACTTGTTCTTATTTTCCTCACTAAAAAGACTATAAAATATATCTACAGTCTTTCTTGTCCTTTCGATTCTGAATTTCATTGTTTGCAACCAAACGCAGTATTTCGCCCACATTGTTTTCACATCACCCACGTAACTAAATACGGAATATAACAATATTGTACTTGTTGTGTAAAATAAACCTCTCTTCTAGTATCCACCTGGTTTTATATGTTTATTCCCTTAGCACAGAATATAAGATATAGAAAATACCAAAATATTCCTTGTTTGCAGGGATATTCATATCTTATCTAGGAATATCTCCTCTGAATATTTTTTCGGGTAACATATGTTGAAATACTGTTTTAATATTCAAAATCCTATATTGTCCACCAAAATTTCCACCATTTTCTGTTCAGTTTCTCATCACCCACCGGTGGGTGATATTGCCCAGGTTGGGAAACCCTGGTCTAAACCATTGATGCCCATCATCACAGAATTAAGAAAGTGAGTATTAATGGGTTAAAAAAGATCAGCGTCTTTGGTTAGTATCTTTTGAGAGTTAAAAAGTTTTTAGCTGTTTATATTTTAGAACCTAAGATATTTCAACTTGTCTCAACACTACTGTCTATGCTTTTATAAATAATAAAAAAAAGTTAAAGTTGTTTAATTTGTTGTGTGAAGCAACAGACAAAAACAAATCCTGAAAGACTGACACATCTTACCTCCATTCCGTCTATATTCAAACTTGCCCGTATTTTGTAAGTACCCAACAGTGGTTCACTGCATACCAACATCAAATCATTAAACTGGAAAAAATAAAAGAACCATTAGTATTTAAAATAGACAGAAAAGAATGCTGATAAAAATGCACACGTCTCTAGATTTATATACAGTTTTGTTCGAAGAGATCCATAAAAATTGTGGATTATTTCAAAGTTTGGATAGTGTGTGTATATATATATATATATATATGGATCACTTTTTAATACTACTGTTTCCTGGGATGATTCAACTCTGGCCATTAACCTTTTATATATATATATATATATATATATATATATATTTATATATACCCAAGTATATGATTGGTATATATGGAATGAATTCCAATAACCAACAAATACTATTCTTAAAAGAGTGCTCAATACAAAGTAGAGCAGATATAATTATTTATTTAAAAAAAATTTATAACATAAATATGTTATAAAAGTGATTTTATAACATATTTATGTTATAAATTTTAAAAATAAATAATTATATATATATATATATATATATATATACACACTGTATATACTCAGGTATCATGTGACTTTTGAAGCTAATTTGACTACAGTAAATGGATATATAGTTTGGTCAATACCATAGCCATGGCAAGCAGTATATAGGCTAATTTTAAGTCTTATATACGATGTGACCCTCTTAAAATTAGCTTCGAAATTCTCATGATACACAAGTATATAAATGCATAAGATATCACATATAGTATTGGTGTTAATAAAATAGTGCTCAATGTAATATAACAGTGCTATTAAGTATATATTAATAAATATACATATTATCCTTCAGCGGTAGCATGACATGGAGTTTCATGCCCAATGCAATCTTCAGGTGCTGGGTAGAGACTGGGCATTACATAATTTCAATTTTTATTAAAATATATGTTTAACACAATGCTGGTGCAGTACATATTATTATATAAGGATTACGTTTTTTCATTTTAAAAATATATGTTGCATTTAAAACAGACAGGACTTTTATTTTATATACATATATAAAATAAATAGGTATGAATATTTTGTTTTATGTTTAAAATAAACAGAGATTAATGGTATTTATAAAAATAATATCAACATAGCCCTAAAACTATATGAACAAAAAATAAAATAAATTTTATAATAATTTTATTTAAATTGTGATTATTATTTTATGTTGATATAATGTGTTTTTTATATATATATATATATATATATATATATATGTGTGTGTGTGTGTGTGTGTGCTTTTAATTAAAATATAGAAATCAAAATAAATGAATAAAGAACTATATATAAATTGGACACTAATATCAACACACCAAGCAGTGACAGTGTTGACCTCAGTGTTTTATATCTTTTAATATTTACATACACTCTGTCTCTGATAATGAGCACTTTTGCCCATAGATATAGCATATCGTACAATTATATTTTTATCATATATATATATATATATATATATATATATATATATATATATATATATATATATATATATAACAATATATAATTTTATATTTCAACAAACAGTATTTAAAAAAATACGACAAACTGGAAAGCCCATTCTGATGAAATCCTAACAGATGAAATGCCTTACAAAAAAACTTTTCCAGTTTGTCAGATTTTTCTCTCTCTCTCTATATATATATATATATATAAATAATCAAAAGGAAAACATATTGTAGCCGATGTGTTTCATCCTTCAATTAAAGAATGCTCATAAATATTCATCAAGTTAGCCAAAAATGTCACAATATTAAAAGAGAAAGTAACTAAGATGGAAAATTATCAAGAGTGCTGCTATTGATTCTTATCAAAATATAAATCTGTCACCTGGATTTTTTCAAATATCTCCATTTCTGAAAGAATTACTACTTTCCCATGCCAATATACATAATTATAAAAATATTAAAAGAATTAAAAGAAAATGGTTAAATTCAGAAACTTATGTTATTTAAAAAATATAATATGAAATTAAAATAATTGAAATACTAATTTATATTAAAAAAAATTTCAAGAACATTTACTCACTTTCGTTTATTAGACATTGAATTGTGTTACTTGGCGTCCTTCATAGCTTGACTAGACTTTTCAACTAACATGAGAAATATTTATGAGCATTCTTATATTAAAAAATTTTGAAAAGCCAACACCATTTTTGCTCTTGTATATAAATACGTGTTATAAAATAAAATCATCACATTTGCCCTTACTCCATAGACATTATGATATTTATTACTTAAAGCCAACATAAAACAATCATACTTTAATATCCATGCCTCATATTCCAAAGTAATCTTAACAAAAAAATGTGTTACCTTACCAAATTGATACAATTAATTCCAAAGAATTTTCTTTGTTGCCCTAATTCTTCACCAGTCCTTCAAATGTCCACAAATAGCCAATGTCAATAATACTATCTACAAAAATGTGCTGAAAAATTCTCAGCCTGGTCCATTTTCCAAAATCTGTATTCCGATGTCTGATCATTTAAATACTGATTATGGGAATTGGGTTGGTCTGAAAACTTTTCACATGCCCACTTGCATGAATATAAATCAAACCGCTACTTACCAAGAAAAGATACCGTTCCTGCTTTTCCCCACTGCGAGCTGAGATTTTTGTGACACGACCCTCCCTGACTAATTCTCTTGTGGGACTAATCAAATCAAAAGATTGACCAAGGCTTTGGTGAACTTCTAACAACTTTCGAAATTTCTCCTGTAAAAAAAAAAAAAAAAAAAAATATAAATAAATCAGGAAATGTTTTCCACAGTTTTTCAATATCTTTATAATATGCGGTAAAAAAAAAGTTTTAAAATACGAAAAGACATAAAATAAAATAAAACTTTTTCAAACATCAAATTGTCAAGGGAATAATGTACAAAATAAAAAAAAAAAAACATCATTTTGTTATACTCCACTTCAAATTTGATCTCTTTCTGATTCACAGGACATGTCATCCAGATATAAACATTAAGAAAGCAAAACCCAAAATAAAGAAAGCCATCCTCTGCACAGAGGCTCTGAGCATCACATATGGCTCACAAAATAAATCCCATCAAAAATATAAAATAAAAACACTTATATTTATGTCAGAAAGAGATGGTTGAAATTCACATAATGAGGAAAGAGAACTTGGAGAATTTGACACTCACAGGACATATTGAAGGTGAAAGGGGCAGAGAGAAAGAGCAAGTAACCTACATAAAAAGCTTGTGCAAAACAGGGACTGGAAGGGATAGAAAGAGGTCAAATGTTACTTAGAGCTACAAAGGATAGGAAGTTGAGGAGAGACATAATCATGCACAGCCTGAAGGGATATGATACTTAAAGATAAAAGAATGCCTTAGGTCACTTATTTGAACATCAGAACTTATCAAGAAATTATACTTAAAAAAAAAAGAGAGCAGATAAAGTTATGTGGTCTATATACACATTTCCCCACATAGCAATTGACTAATGGTACAAGTTATTACAAACAATTAACAACCAACCATGTGTAAGCAGATTTAGTAGAGAACACATCACATGTTCAGACAGAATAATTAACCAATCAAATGGTTCTACTTAGTTTTCAAAATTTCTAAGTCTGTGATATGGTCGTTGATCTAAAACCAAATAAAAAATGAGCCAGTAACAGAAAAAGTCAATAGTTGTAGATTCCCACTATCTACATTGTTCGGACTATCATCCTCATCTTTGTTGCTATAGTTATCACGTTTCAGGTCGTTGTATGCTCTGGCCTTCTTCAGGTGTTTGGAATATCGAACTGAACCCTTTAAAACAGTCTACCCCAGCGAGCGAAATAAAGGGTTCAGCTTGACATTCCAATCACCTGAAGAAGGTCGGAGCATACAACAGCCCAAATGTTGTGACAAATATGGCAGAAATGTAGATAGTTTACATAATAGCTCATCTCAGAAATCTAGATAGATACTGAAGATTCACTCACATCAAAAGACCAGTTGGTACTGCAAAAACTCCAAAAAGACATAACTGACCTCTTACTCACAAACTACCATATAGAGATGTCAGAAATACCAGCAAGTAATTGATTGTCTACCTCTCTCTCTCTCCTTCTGTACATAAGTACATGAACAAATATCCTCTCCTGTGCAATAAAAAAAAAATTCATACTATATTAAAAATCATCTTCTGACCTTGTCTATGTTCATAATTATTGATCTTGATGTGGGGGACCAGTTATAGCATAAAAGATTTTGCACACATGCAAATATTTTGACTGCTAAAAACATCCCATCCCAAAATTTATAGACAGATTGTACAGCTGCATGCTGGGATTTCTTCCTAGCCAATAAAAATGAAACACTTCTCTGTCTTATCCACCATATATTTGTTCTTGCCTTGAAGTCAGATGGCTACAATCACTTATCAGTATCCCTTTTGTGTGTTTCCATTAATACTGTTCTTATTTGTGAACTCTTTGCCTTATTACTGTTGTTTTGCTTTTTTGCCTACTTTTATCTTATATATATATATATAAAATAAAAAGTATATATATATATATATACATACATACATATAAAATAAAAGTATATATATATATATATATATATATATAAATATATATATATATATAAAAGTATATATATATAAGATAAAAGTAGGTAAAACAACAGTAATAAGGCAAAGATAAAAAAGAACATTATTATTGGGAGAGTACATAAAAAATATATATATATATATATATATATATATATATATATATATATATATATATATATATATATATGTTTATTTATTTATTATTTTGCCCTGTTGATTTCCTTCTGTTATTGTTTATTGGTAACTTTGTTGATTCTGTTTATTGCATATTTCCATCAATTACATTTAACCTTGGCTAATTATTCTACACATGGAAATATTTACGATTAAAATAATGATGAAACTATAAATTGTGAAGATATTTTTAAGTAATTTTAACTGATTTTGATAGATTTAGAGTAAGAGTTAACTTTCAAAACCTTAAACTACATTATTTTCTTAATAATTTGTTCTTAATTATTAAGAAAAAATATCATTTAAAGTTTAAAAAATAAAAGTATCTTCTAATGAATTATGAAAAAAAAACTCCCTTGGAGAATCAGTAAATCTTAATGAATCAATAAAAAAGGACTTTTCTAATTTTTGCTTGAGAGATTTATACAAGGTTATTTTGGTTTTGTAAGAATATAGAACCAAATACCAAAGATCTAAAGACTCAAAGAATTGAAACACTGCATATAAAGTGAATAGAATACTGACTTTACCTTCAACACTTCAAGAGCCAATACACAAAGGAGATGGCAGAAACACAGAGTTAGTTTCAATAATTTTTTTAATGATTGAAATTCCCTAAAGTTTGGGTAATATTACAATTTACTCAGATCTCATATTTGAATAACTTAATATAAATCTTTATAGGTGGGAGGCTAGAGTCTGATTTCTACAAAACAAACTTCTGAAAATTAAATCCGTGTTTGATTTGATAAAATTGTTCAAAAGCAATTCAAATTCAGAACCATGGGATCAGGAACGACCTTTGTGTATACAACTGTTCTTGTTTATTTTTAGCTTAGCATTCCAATTGGTTAAATCATCTTCAACTGCAGATCAAAATAACAAGATGCATCAATAGCTTTTCTTTTGGAGATCAAGTTGGGGTTAACGAGGAAGCATCAATCTTAATAAGTTATAGCCTAGATGAATATTCAAGTGGTTGAGTGAATTATCTATCCAAAAGGAAATTCTGGGTAAAGACCTTATTAAATGTAAAGAGACTCAAAATAGATTTTAATATTACTCAACTATTTTAATGGCAATTAGGATCAAAACAGTTGAACTTAACTTATGTATTTAATCATTATCTATCTTCTATATGTAGGTACTCACAAATATTTTAACATTAGGATGAAGGCAAACATGGCTCTCCACAATTTACCTTTTCTTTTATCATGATTTCTGAAGTGGGGGGAAAATATTGGAGCAGTTTATCCTTACCTTCTCCATGGTTTTAACTTCAAAGATAGCCCTTCTCCTATACTAGATGCCACTCAAGGTAGAGCCCAGCCTACATGGCTATCTAATTCACAGCAGGGTAAAGGACCCATGGATGCATGCTTTTCCCACCCAAGGAAGAGCTTGGTCTATCCACCTATTTAGTCTGCAGCTAGGGAAAGAAGAGATTGAGGCATGCTTTTCCCAAGGGCATTAGTCTAAAGTCCCACTCAAGGTGAAACCCAGTCTATTCTGCTATTTGATCTGCAACTGGCAAAAGAAGAGATGGATTCATGCCTTTCCCAAGAGCATTAGTGTGAGCTGAATATAACAGATTAGACTGTATACACCAATCACAGTTAGACTCTCCACACTTAAAAAAAATTAAATTTAGATATCTATTAATATTTATGGAAAGTCAAAAATAACTCTGAATACAGTTTCCCCACCAAGGCAAAAAAAAGTCCAGTCTACCCTGCTAATTAATGATTTATTGGTAGGAATTCAAATTCAGAGTTATCATATGCTCCCCACCCCCCTCCGACAAGGCAAGAAAGCCCAGTCTGCCATACCTTTATTGCATGTTATATGTCATTTCTATTTACAGTGTGTGTAGAAAATAATGTGCCTCAGTTGTTTTTTTAATCATTTTCTCCCAAGCAAGGCAATAAAGCCACTAAGATGCAAGGGGGTTACTGAGTGTTAGAGAATATGAGGGAAAAGTTATGGAGAGAAAGCAATAAAAATTAAGAAAACAGAAGAAAACGATTGACATTTTTGAAAATGGTGGACAAAATTGTCATGTGAAAGTTCTCTAAAATATTATTGTAATCACTGCTGAAAAAGAACGTAAGAACTGCTAGGAGCAGCAAAAATCGATGCATAATTCTATTCTGTTTATATCTTCTATTTAGATTTCTTGTATTTTATATTAATCCTATATATATATATATATATATATATATATATATATATATATTTAGTTTATGGAAAACTAGGCAATCTGTATGGGTAGACCCAAGGAGGATAAAATCCAGAGAGCTCAATGTAAATCCAGAGCAAATAATTTAAATAAAAACAGACCACTTTAAGGTTCCATGTAATAAATTATTTCACCTTTTAAATAACTGCGGATCATGTGGTCTGTTTTTATTTAAATTATATATATATATATATATATATTAAGAAATGGACAAGGTCCGACAATTTATTTATTAAAGACATATTTTTATGTTTAACGTTGTTATTTCATAGATACAAGTATTTAAGCAAATGCTCTGTTTATGATAAACAGTATTAAATAACATTTACCGGCCTGAATGTCGAGAATTTTCATAGAAAATTTTCGTTCTTTGACAAGATTGAACCTGCATCCTATCTTAGCGGAACCGTCATATTCGTTACATTGCCTTACCGCTTAAGCTACAAAGAACCAATCGGTAGACAAGGTCGAATTTACCTTATAAACTCCAACTTTCCAGAATCTCGTAGATACATTCATAACTGCTCAAAGAATTAAAATGGAAAATCGAATGTAAACAAATGACGTCGGATATTAAAACGTTAAATGGACAGGTCCGACAATTTATTTATTTAATACTGTTTATCATAAAAATAATTTGTTTAAATAAAACTTGTATCTATGAAACAACAACGTTAAAACATAAAAAAAATATGTCTTTAATAAAAAATATATATATATATATATATTCATACACGTTTTCATTAAATAATATACACAAGTGTTGTCTACTTATTTTATGTAAACTCTTTTCATAACGTCTAATAAGTTTAATAACATTATCATTGAATGAAGAAAGAAATTCACAATATTGATCCATATTTTTTAATACAATCTAAGCTTTCGGCTTACATAAGCCATTATCAAAGATGTCAATTACAACATATTAAGCAATATATATATATATATATATATATATATATATATATATATAAACCTAAAGAGCCAGGTAAACCTGCCCAGGGTTTCACCTAAACGAATCGTCAGGGTCAAACTGGCCAAAAAGGTTAAAAAATGGAACAGAATATATAGCTTAAACCAAAAACAACCTGTTTTATTTATTTATTTATTTTTTCACGTGGTCATGGTTGTTTTTGGTTTAAGCTATATATTCTGTTCCATTTTTTACCTTTTTGGCCGGCATTTCCCTGACAATCTGTTTAGGTGAAACCTAGGTAGGTTTACCTGGCTCTTTAGGTTTATATTAGGTTTGCTCTACTTTGAGTATTGAGCACTTTACGTAGTTATCTTTACTTGTTTTGGGTTAGGTTTTTTTTCTTTGGACTCTGAGCTTGAATTCTGGACGATTGTTTTCACCTCAATTTCATGGTCTTAGTTCTTTCTTTTTTATCCCTCATTTTTCCTTGGGCATTGGTTTGTTCAATCACAAGCCGAAATACCTAAGGTTTTTCCAAACAAGTACCACTATATATATATATGAAGAAAAATATACTGAAAAAACAAATAAAAATCCTAATATGCGATTATGCTGTTTTAATGTTTAATGTCAACGTCGGACGTTTTGGTCTAATAGACCATCTTCAGGACATATTCATAAAACATAATTAACATAGACCATATACAATTCAACATGAAAAAGACGATGGACATAAAAGCAATACCAATCCAAACAGATAAGTGAATATGTCCTGAAGATGGTCTATTAGACCGAAACGTCTGACATTGACATTAAACATTAAAACAGCATAATCGCATATTAGGAATTTTGTTTGTTTTTTCAGTATATTTTTCTTCATACTGTCGAATCTATATTCATATATTTGCTTATATATATATATATATATATATATTTTATGGAAATCTATGACAAAGTGTAAAAAATCTTTCATGTGATGCAGTTCATCTTTCCAGACTTAGAAATAATGATGATTACACAATTACATATGTGATTGGGTATATAGTCGAGCCAATTTCATTTAGTTTTTTTTTTTTTTTTTACTTGTTTTTAGCACTTTTGTTATTAAATATTCCACTCTGTTATAAATTTTTCTAAAATATATAAAAAATTATATATCATATATATATCATATATATATGTATGTATGTATGTATTAAAAAATACACATAATACCCTACATGGATTGCACAAGAAATATTTCATTGATGCATGTTTCATTAAATAATATAGACAAGTTTTGTCTATTTATTTTATTTTATGTAAATTCTTTTCATATCATCTGATAAGCTTAATAGCATTATAGACAAAAGAAAATCGTCATATTGATACATATTTTTTAATCCTATCTAAGCTTTCGGCTTACATAAGCCATTTACAAAGATGACAATTACATCTTTGGCTATTTCAACTATGTATATCATTCATATATATATATATATATATATATATATATATATATATATATTTGTATTTGGAAGCATGAGTAGAATAATAGATAGCTGCTCGGATTGATGAATCGGAGAGTCGAAGTTCAAATTCCAATCGAATCCATTACATTAACTTACGTGCTAATAACCTTGGGAAAGGTATGAATCCTCTTCTTCCCCTAGCTATTGGTAAGTAGCTGGACAAATCAGGTTCTATAGACTTGAATGGCAACTGGTCTACCACAGAAAGAACTGGCAACCTACTGCAGGAAAAAATCTGCCTCGTCAGTCATATATCAAAAGATACATGATTGCCTAAGCATGTATCATGCAGAGCACATAACTGACTGTATTTGTATACGAATGCTTGCTCATACATTTACCTATATTTATCCATTTGATTATATATATATATATATATATATATATATATATATGAGCATATTATAATATATTCATGTAAATATATCATCTCTACATGATTTGATAATGTGGAAAGTAAATGCTAAAAACAAAATTAGAAAAAAAACAGAAATACTCACAATTTTGTTCATTGCTTCGTTTGAGTGACTTGCTGCTTCAGTTACTTTTTGGAGGGCTTCTGCAAAAATTAACAGATAGAAATAAAATTTTGAAAATCCCTAAAAGTTCTTTTATATATATATATATATATATATATATATATACAACGTGCGATGGGTAAATTGGTGCCATTTTATATTTTTTTAGCATGGGAATTGTTTGTTTTTTATTTTGACAACTGTACAGTATAGTAGTGTAAGTTGGGCACTGTATATGAGAAAAAGAGCGCCATGACAATTCACTCCATGAGAAATTTGAAACCGGCATACTGCACTGTTTGGTATTTGCACAGGAAGCTCCAATACAAACATTTCAGAATATTTGGGTGACACTGTCAGGACAGTGCAGAGGATTCGGAAAGACTTAGATGAGTCTAATGGTGATTATGAAAGTATTTGGAGTGATCAAAAGTGATGGTGACATTACACCACCATTTATCTGCACACAGGGCCTTAGACTCAACACAGAGAACTACATCAAGTGCCTTGAGAAGCAAGTGCTCCCCTGGGTCAAGAGGGTGGCTGTTAGAAGAATCTATGTTTAGCAAAAGGACTCTGCACCTTGACACATCAGCAGAAGGACCCAATCATGGCTGTCAAGACAATTTCTGCCACCAAATCACCCCTTACATCTGACCACCTAGCACCCTAGACTGAAACTCCCTTGATTATTATGTTTGGGAAACATTTGAGCAAGAGACCAACAAAACTCCTTGTAACACCAAAGATGAACTGAAGGCAAGGAATATGACAGTATTCACTAACTTAAACATGGAGACTTTCCAAAAGAGTTGCAGGAGATTCTGAAGTCGTCTGGGAGGCCATGGCTTAAGTCAATGGCAATTTTATTGAATAAATTTACTCTTTAGTATTTTTTTGTGTAATTTTGGTAAATATATCTGTTAAAATGAGATGTCAGTGTTATTTAAATTTTTGCATAACTTAGACAGCAATTTATCCATCACACCCTATATATATATATATATATATATTATAAATTAATTGATTTAAAATATGTTTTTTTTTCCGCTACACAGTTCTAACCATGTTTCAAAAATGGAAGCTAAAAGCCACAAATTTAATTTTTCAATTAAATTAAAGACATTAGTTCCATTTCATCCTCAAGCGAATTTTGTAGTAACTTTTAAAATTACTGGGTTTTAAAGACACAATTAAAATCACGTTTCCATGGTTAAAGATAATTCTACTTCGACTGGACAAGGGTTGTCTGGGTTTTCCTTATGTCTGTATCATTGTATCGGTTATTAGCTACATTTTGGTAAGGGGTAGGTATGTATTTTTCAATGAGAACTGACATCCGTTGAATGCATGTCGTCTGGATTTTTTTTAAATTTATTGTTAACGGCAAAAAAATTCTTACGGCATTTTTTTTCCTATTTGTAAAGTTAAAGATTTTCGGGGGTGTTCAGATTAGAATACTTTTTATTTTACTACAATTTGAAATATTCTCATTTTTAATTTTTATTATACTATATTTTTTTATGAACAGTTCAAAATGTATTAGAATCCCTTATATTATGTAGGATTATTTTTACATCAAGTATAAGTATGTATATTAGGGTACATTTTTTTATTTTTTTTTAAGTAAAATTTATGACAATGACGGCAAAAATAGTTACTTAATTTACTGATTTAGTAAACTTTTATTTTTTATATATATAAACCTAGTAATATATTGTTTCTCATGTAAATACAAAGGACATGGGTCATTCATAAGCTTACATCTTCTGGCATTTCATATTAATTTTATTTTACTATAGGTGTTTTATTGGATTCTTTTAAGTGCGTGTAGTACTAAGTAAAAGAAGTTTAGGTTAGAATTCATTTTATTTAACTACAATTTTAATTACAACTTTAAAATATTTTTCATTGTTATTTTTTTTAATAGAGTATATTACTTTATAACAGAAGGAAAAATGTATTTCAAATTACTTATATTAAGTAAAATTATTTTTTCCATATCAAAGTATATATATATTACGATTTTTAAACTTTTTATATTTAAATATTATTTAAGTAATATTTTATGGCACTTACTGGAAAAAATAGCTAATTCATTTCTCAGATTTAGTAAACTTTATTTATTAATTAATTTATTTATTTATTTTAAATATATATAAACTAAGTAATAAAGTTTCATATGTATGTACAAAGGACATGGGTCATTCACAGGCCTACATCATCTAGCTTTTCGTTATAATTTCATTTTTCAGTAGGTGTTTTATTGGATTCATTTAAGTGCCGGTAGTACTTTTTGAGAGGTGTTTAGGTTAGCATACATTTTATTTAACTGCAATTTTTAAAAGATGCTTAGGTTAGAATTCGTTTTAACTACAATTTTAAAATATTTTCACTGTTATTCCAATAGACTTTTTTTTTTTTTTTTTTATAAAGAAAAAACAAGTAAATGTAATATAATTACTTACAGTATATAAAATTATTTTTCATGTTAGATATAAGTATGTATACTACCTGATTGCCCCCCCCCACTTTTTTTAAAAAATTTATTGACTATTTGTGACTGGAAGAGATAATTCCAAGGAGAATATAAATCCAGGGAGAGCTCAATGTAGACTACAGAGCATTATAATAAGAAGACGGAGACTTTTATTATCCATTAATTATCCATGGATAATTAAAATCTTTGTCTTCTTCTTATCATATATATATATATATATATATATATAAGATAATATAAAGAACAAATAGGAAAGGTTTATCAAATTTATGTTTCACTGTTATTAAAGCTTCTATTAAAGCACCTGTTGGGATTTAAACTCAACCCAAATCTAGTAAATATGATCCATCACTAAAGATGCTGGAAAAATGATCAGTTCTCTGTACCACTCCAGTAAGTACCTGATTCCTCATGCTATCTTCTACCTTTACAAGAGGCAAGTTGGGATGGAAATAAGGTACTATTGATATAGATGAGCAGGAGCATCACAGTCTTCACTTTCCAATCACAATTGAGTCCAAAAGTGTAACCGCATCCTTCTGGGTGACAAATCATTTCCAACCCTACAAACCTCTTTCACACAGTAAAACGTCACAAGTCTTTTGTTACTCTATCGATATTTCCATGGAAAGTGTTCAAAAGAACTACATTAGTGCCATCAGTCTTCACAGCTAAGACCTGCCATGCTACGCATGCCCCACTCACGTAGCTTCTTCCCATGAACTGCTGTTTTGTGGAACTGACTCCCAAGTGGATGCTTCCCTGATCACTACAATCATAGTCTGTTCAAGTCTAGAGTTAACCACTATCTTCCACATACATCCACATAAACTGTGCTTATTACTCTGTAATCCTCCTACTTGTACAGGGTAAACATCATTGTTAAAAAAACAAAAAGAAGCCTTTCATTAATAATAGATTTTATCATGGTTTTTAATGTGTCAAATGATATTGCATTGACTCATTCTAATATAATATAAAAATGAATATAATATAATATAAAATATTAAACATTAGCTTGAACTTAGAATTTAATGAAACATAATTGACTCATGTTTGAAAAAAAATTTGGAATTCAACATTTCTATGATACTCAAATCAATATTAGTATTAAAGAGATAAGAATAACAATACTAATTTTAATAATGATATCAATATTAAAGAAAATAAGCAATATTAATATATTGTTAATCAAGTAAAAAGCACAAGTGGGAAGATCTCATTTATACCATTATTGTCACATTTGACAAAAATGAGAAGGTGGAATGCATTCTTCCTGATAATTACTAAAGTTATTTTTGCAAATTCATCAAAAAAGGTTCTATTTAAATTTTTTCTGGTTTTATTTTTTGTTCTCCGATTGCTTTTCTCTTCCCACTTTTTAAGGTGGGTAGGAAAAGAATAAAATAATTAATAAAAAAAAAAAAATTTATGAAGACAAGTGAAACAAAGCAAATCATACATAGAATACAAAAATAGAAAATGTTTCGCTTTATCATTCAAAGTAGATCTTGTGTTTAATCCATTTGGTTAATTTTTTTCTTTTTACAAGAGAAGGAAATTTGCTTCTTTCTAAGCTTTTAATGTCTTTCGTTCAGAAACGTCGCCATTGTTTTTTGACATTATGTAACTTTTTCTTTTTTTGATTAGAAACATTAGTCGTCCATCTTATACCCGAATTACTGGCTTCCATTTCCTTCACAGAGAGAGATATTATTTCCACCTACGGTTTTCTTTCTGAATAGTTCTATCACTTTCTTTCTCAACCTTTCATCTTTTTTTTAAGACAAGTTTGATTATAGATTAATATTTCTACTTGCAGTTCTATAAATAGAAAAAAGATGGAAAAATGAGGTCAACTTACAGAAAAAAAAATATAGAATTGAAAAAAATTAAAGCTGTCACTTAATAGAACTTATCATTTAAAAGTAGATGACCATGACACACAGATAAAAAAAAATCCATTTAGGCAGTAAAATACAATTTTTTTCATTAAAAAATTTTGAAATGTCTATAAAAAGAAAAGAATAATTGACACAACATTTTCTATTTTTACAAATGTCTTAAGAGAATCAACTATTCTATGTTCTGAAAATAAAATTGTTGTTTTTACTTTAGGATGCATGACCATTCTTTTACAACACATTTTCTGGAATAACCTGCCACCCCTACACTATTTACAAATTCTCAAAGATTATAAAAAAAAACATGAATACTGTAGTAATGTCGTCCATCTTATTCTCAATTACTAGGCTAACCATTTCAAATTCAGTATACACAAAAAATTCTGTCACTTAAGAGAATCAACTATGAATAGTAGTAATGTTCTGAAATTAAAAGAAATTTCACCTAGTGGTTTCTTTACAACAGAAGATAAAAGTTCTATCCTATTACCTACAAATTCTCAACCTTTCATTTTTTTTTTAAACTGTTTTTAATTCTAAAAGAAAAGATTATAAATTTCATGACCAAGACATTGTTTTATTTCTTTGATTATCAGATTAATATTTCTACTTGCAGTTCAAAAAATAGAAAATGGTACCAAAAAAGATGGATTCTGTCAGGCAGTCAAACAAAAAAAATTTGAAAAGAATCAACTATGAAAATGTGTAGTGTTCTGAAAGGTCCCTTTAAAGTGTATGACCATGAATTACAACACAGAAGATAAAAATTTGATGTACTGCCATGTACTATGGCAATTCTCAAAGCAGCATACATTAAAAAAATTCAAACTGTCACTTAAGAGAAAAATATAGAGTAATGGTCTATAAAAAAAAATTAAATGCACATGAATAACCTGCCACTCCCTATGACATCAGAAGTATAATAGAATCAACTATGAATACTAAGAGAATCAACTATGTAATAGTTCTGAAATGTCTATAAAAAGAAAAGATTTTCATACTTTAAGGAGTGCATGACCATGACATTACAACACAGAAGATAAAAATTCTGATGTAATGGAATAACCTGCCACCCCTATGGTCTCACTATAGGCAGTAACCACCTACAAATTCTCAAAGCAGTATACATTAAAAAATTCAAACTGTCACTTAAAGAATTCAACAAAAATGTTCTGAAATAAAAAGAAAAGAATTTTCTGAAATGTCTACTAACTGTGTTTGATGAATACTGCCACCCCTAGTCTCACTATAGGCAGTAACCACCTACAAATGTTCTAAAAATTCAAACTGTCAAAATCAACACTGTAGTAATGTTCAAAAATTGCTCAACATACTTAAGGAGTGCATTGACTCACAGAAGATAAAAATTCTGATGTAATAAAATTTCTATAGGCAGTAGTGCTAAATTCAAACTGTCACTTAAGAGAATCAACTATTGTAGTAATGAAATGTCAAAAAAAAACATACTTTAAAATGAATGACCATGACATTAAAACATGGTCTCACTAAACATGACATTAAAAATTCAAAAGAAAATATGAATACATGTTCAAACAAGATTTACCCAAATGAAAATAAAAAAATTTGATGTAATGGAATAATATGGTCTCACTATAGGCAGTAATTCTAGCAGTATACCAAACTGTCACTTAAGAGAATCAACTATGAATACTGTAGTAATGTTCAAACAAAAGAAAATACGACATTACAACACAGAAGATAAAAATTCTGATGTAATGGAATAACAACTATGGTCTCACTATTGCAAATACAGTATACATTAAAAAATTCAAACTGTCACTTAAGAGAATCAACTATGAATACTGTAGTAATGTTCTGAAATGTCTATAAAAAGAAAAGATTTTCATAATGACCATGTCAAAAAATTCTGATGTTTACCCCTATGGTCTCATATAACAAATCAAAGCAGTAAATAAAAAATTAATTAGAATCTATGAATTTTGTTCTGAAATGTCTATAAAGAAAAATTTTCATACTTTTTATGACCATGAAATAAAAAATTCTATAATGAATAACCTGCCACCCTATCATTATCTACAAACTGTATACATTTTCAAACTGTCCAGAATCATATTATTATATGTTCTGAAATGTCTATAAAAAGAAAAATATCTTTAATTGGATGCAATTGACAGTTTTATTAAAAATAACAACAAATTTCAAAGCTTTTTTTTATATCAAATACACAAACAAACATATACTTATATATATCAATATGGAGTTTTTTATTCCATACTTCAATTAAATAAATTTTAGATACAGGAGATCACTATTTTCTAAAATAAAATCCATGTGTTTGTCCAAACCAAATTAAAATCAAAAACTAATTGGTTTTGCAATAAACCTGTTACTATTTATCCACTGTGTTTGTCCAGTCCATATTCCTATTACAAATTAAGTGCTAATGCATGACTGTCAACCATTGCATATGAAAGCAAAAAGAAAAATTACAGTAATAGATATCAAAAAACAGTTTTGTATTACTACGTACACCCCTGATGACCTTGAAAGAAGATCGAAAGTACTTGAGAAATGGAAAATAAAAGAATTTTCATTGTTATAACATATTTCTCACATCATTTAATTACAATACATGGAAGATTACCATGAGTACGAATAGATTTTATTAAAAATAAGCAAATATAATGTCTGTAATTTATTTCATCACACACACACACACACATATATATATATATATAATATATTAATGCTCTGTAAATTTACATTGAGCACTATTTTGTAAAAAAAAAAATATCTATAAGAACACCAGATTATATATCTTACTGTTCTTTCTTTATATATATATATATATATATATATATATATATATATAGTGGAGGCATGATGGGTTAATAGATAGCAGCTCAGTTTGAGGAATCAGAGAGCCGAGTTTGATTTCCAGTTGTAAACAACATTCACTTATGTGCAAATACCCTTGGGAATGGTATGAATCCATTTCTTCTCCTCCCAGCTATGGGTAAATAGCAGGACAGACTGGATTTTATAGCCTTGGGAGGCAACCAGTCTAGGAGGACTCCCAATGACACACTATGTACACCAGTTCTATGTATTGAGCACTTCCAGAAAGTGTGGTTGGTTCTGCAAAAGCATTTCCCACTATAATTAAATCATATGTGTGAGAAGTCTGGATCTTCGCTTCTAAAAACTGAATTGCTGTAACCTCATATGTTAAATACAATGGGAGAGTCCAGTAGTGTGTCTGTGTGTGTGTGTATTATTTTTATACATACAAATATTTAAGTAAATGCTTTGTTTATAATAAACAGTATTAACAACATTTACTGGCCTGAATGCTCAAGAAATTTCATAGTGACACATATTTCCTTTGAGATTTCTCGGACATTCAGGTCAGTAAATTTTGTTAATACTGTTTATTATACACAAAGCATTTACTTAAATATTTGTATGTATAAAAATAATGTAGAAACAGAAAATATTAAAACAATTGTCAGACTTAGTGCCTTTCATTATATATATATATATATACTAGCAGTAGAGCCCGACGTTGCACGAAGATATAACAGTAAGAGATAGAACAAGTATCGACCATCATAAAGACTGAAAAATAAAATTGACAAAGATTATTGTTTAAGGTTGACGGACACGCATGTCTTAATTAGTTTTTGTTTTTTTTGTTTTTTTCTGAATTGGTCAAACCCAAACTCAAACAAAAAACATTGTTTTCAATCGTTATGAGTCTATCGATTGAATAGAATTTTAATATAAACAATTGTCTTGTAAATGGAATTTTTAAAGCATTCTGAATGTAAAAATAAAGAAAAAAAGTGTGCAAGACAATAAGAAACAAAAGTGAAGTTTTGTTGAAATTGGTTGAAAAATGTAGGAAATCTGATCCCATATATAAATGAACACACACACAAACAACCTGGGTTTTATAATAAGTATAACTCTATATGAGTTGTCCCCCTTTCATTTTGGTGACAGAATCGTGTTTTTCAAATTGATTTCATGCAAAAACAATTGGGTTTTTCAATTTTTGTGCTGTCAGAACCACCATAAAGGTAATTTTACGCAGTCCTGTGAAGTTTTATTTGAAATCGGTTGAAAATGTAGGAAATCGATCCAAATATATACAGACACACACACACACACACACAATCTGTGTTTTTATAATAAGTAAGATATATATATATATATATATATATATATTGTATAAATCATACTATTGATATTGTTAGATGCATCTTTCATTTAAATGCCAACAAGAATGCCAAAAATCAAAGTTAAAATACATTTTTAAAATAAGTTCAGACATTCTCAATAAGAATTTATCAATAACTACAAATCCCACAAAAACAATCTATAAACCCTCCACAACCCTAATTGTGGCAGACAGCTAGCCCAAAACTATTATATTTTAAATGTAATATTATAACACATGCATGCAAAAAAAATTCTCCCCAGAAGTCCAACTTCATTTCTCATTGAGAAAAGACAAAGTGTGGCAGTCTATCATACAAGTGCAGAGATTGTGCTGACATGTTTATGGATCTTGTGCTTCAGTAGATGCCAGCAAGTATGAGATTTGTGGTAGATACCCAAAGAAGCGGTCATCCTTCAACATCCAGAGTGAAAGAAAATGTGAATTTTCATACTGTATTTAATTTGCCATTATACTGTTCAGAATAAAACATGTCTTAGGAAAATCAACCAATAATTAATAACATTATTAACAATTCTAAATAGAGAGTTTCTTTCCATTCACCCAGTATTATAATTACTATACAACACATACACATATATATACATATGTACTACTTACCTTCCGTGTCCTTCCTGTCTGGAGAATTTTCAGGAAGATGTTTCAAATAATCTAAAATAAAAAATGTAATAATACAGATATCTCTAAGAATTAATTTAATTAGAATCGTTTGGTTTGGTTGATTTTGTTTAACAGCATATCAACCTCTATTGGTTATTTAATGCTGAAATCTAAATATATATTTTATGGATGACTTTTGCTGGATTTCGCAATTAATTTCAATTATTCCTGAATTTATTTCCAAGTTATAAAAAATTTTATGAAAAATACACTGCCAAAAATTACATTAAAAAAAATCACAGTAATGAAAAATTGGGAATCCAAATTTTCAGAATTGTGGGTCTGGATCTGGCCTGGAATGTTTTTAATTAGCTCACAGTGTCAGCCTGATTCCAAAATGGCATGATATTTTTGGGCTACAGCCTCTAGCGGTAAAGTTGAAAATGTGTGACACCTTAATGGATTTATTTATATAGAAAAACAATTGTAGATGAATTTTTTTAACTAATTGCCTTTTATTCACTTTGATTTTTCTAAAGGATATATATCTCAAAATTCTCAACAAAATCTAAAGTGACTGTAATGTGATCAGTCTTGATTTGGCATCTTGATTTTAGTCACTTTTCAACAGTCGTGACATGACTTCCTTCTGTGTTTTCTATATTTTCATGCTAATTTTTCTGATGAGCTTTCTTGTCAAAAGGATGATATACACTCCTAATTTTTTTAAAAAGGTGTTCTGCAATTACAGAGTCAGATATGACGTCATACTTGTGGAAATTTTCTACTCTAGAAGTCATAAATAAAAATTGTTATTGTACAAAAAAATGCATTGCCAAAAATTACGTAAAAAAAAAATCACAGTAATGAAAATTTGAGAATCCAAATTTTCAGAATTGTGGGTTCTGGATCTGGCCTGGAATGTTTTTAATTTGCTTACAGTGTCAGCCTGATTCCAAAATGGCTTGATATTTTGGGCTACAGCCTCTAGCGGTAAAGTTGAAGTCAATTGAATTCTGAAAAATGAGGATGGTTAGCCCATTCTGTTTTTCTTACTTCTCCTTTTCTTTCTTGGTCCTAATTTCATATTACCAACTGCCATAATTTTTGTCTTCCCTTTTTGTCCCTTTTAATTATGTCTATTCATATCTGCCTTAATTACTCTCATCTCAGTCTGTTGTCTGTTTAGATCCAATCTTTATCTCGACTCCTCATCCTCATAATCTTCCTATTTTATTACATTCCCTTCATTTCATATCACACATCTTCAGTTTTGCCATTTTGCTGGTTGTAACCCTCTACCTTGAGCGGCTTTCAAGCCTTGTATTGGTTGAAATTAAGCATTAAAAATATACTCTTTTTTAATTCATATCAGCCTTGGGAAATTATTTCTCACAGAATTCACTTTCATTTCTTCCAATCATATACTAATAATACACCAACACAGTCCTATGTCGACCACAGTTAAGATTATACTCATTGTTAATTCCATTATCTTGTCAATGGCTGCATAGTATGTGCTACATGAGGACCCTATGTCAAACGCTGACAAGATTATAGTCATTGTGAACTTCATTATCTTGTTGATGTCTGTATATTATGTACTACACCAGGGTCCTATGTCGAGCACAATCAAGATTATAGTTATTGTGAACTTCATTATCTTGTTGATGTCTGTATATTATGTACTACACCAGGGTCCTATGTCGAGCACAATCAAGATTATAGTTATTGTGAACTTCATTATCTTGTTGATGTCTGTATATTATGTACTACACCAGGGTCCTATATAAAGCACAATCAAGATTATAGTTATTGTGAACTTCATTATCTTGTTGATGTCTGTATATTATGTACTACACCAGGGTCCTATGTCGAGCACAATCAAGATTATAGTTATTGTGAACTTCATTATCTTGTCGATTGATGGCTGCATAGTATGTGCTACACCAGGGCTACATACAGTTTTGAATTCAGAGTTGTCTCTCTTCTACACTGGATGCCAACCATGGCTAGAAAGACCAGTCTTCCCTGCTATATAATTATAGCTGGAAGAAGGTGGGATAGATTTGTATCTTTCTCAAAGGTATTCATACAAATTTGTGTATAACGAACTCAGCACACCAGTTTCTTGTTCCAAGCCACTAAACATTACGCAGATTGCACATACTTTTCCAATTGTATATACTAAATTATATGAAAGCAGTATGTGTTTACCTTTTAAAAGGAGTTCATATCGAGGGACCCGCTGGATTGGTTCTAACATGTGGTGCTGAAGAGTCAAGTTGGCACAGTCAGGTCCTTGCTGTAAAAAAAGAAAGAGTTATGATAAGAAAAATATTTTCATCTGTGTTATCCTTCATTTTTTTGCCAATATTTTGGCTGATCCATTCACCTACCTTAAGGAGAGACATAAAAAAATGATCAGTTTTTTTTATATTGTCACTGGATTTCTAGTATGACTGAGTAAATATTTACTCACTATTGTGTAGCAGTAATCAACACTTTGGATAGTAAATATCAAAGGGCTCTTAGAAAATTTATCTCATAAACAATACTGCTGGACTCAATGTGAGTCCAGGTAAAAAAATAAGTAGTATAACACAAATTACAACCAATTTCATGTATTGACAAAAGGAATTACAATTATCATAAAGCAAGAAAATATTTCAACTAGAGAATATGTTTTCATGTGTGAAATTCATGCAGGCCTACATGATGGACACATGTGTGAAAGAGTTCAAAAGTCAAGAGAGAAAAGTAAAACCATGATGTGAACATTCCCTGGGGGACACTTTTTTTCTCATATGCAACTACATCTTATAGCCAGAAGCTGTGAAAGAGGAAAGTGACTATGGAGAAAAATGTATGCTTTTTTTCATAGGCTTAAGGAGTGCCACCTAGGGACAGTTTTTTTTGTTTTTTTTTAGCAAAATCAAGTAGGATAACTCACAATATCTAAGACAATTGATGAAACTGAATCATATCTAGGGTTCAGCAAAAGTAACACCCTTTTTTATTTAACAAAAATAAACTGCAGTAGTTTAAGATGGCTTAAGATTAACTATGGCTTACACATTTAGGAATGGTTAAATCCTAATTTCGAGCTGAGGTGGATAAGATGACATAGATCAATTTGAGTGGACATCATGATCACCAGATCTAACACCACCAGATTTCTTGTGTACTGAAAGATCTTGTTTACAGGCTCAAACTGATAAGAATTTCTGAATTAAAACAAGCAATTTGATAAATTTTCTGAAATTAATGTAGAAATGTCAAATGGTTTGTAGAAGTGTTGCTCAAAAGGTTCAACATGTTTATTAATCATAAATCATGTTTGGAACACTTCTAATTGGTGTAATGGTTAACAAACTTCTCTTTTACAACTGAATGGTGAGTTCGATCCTCACCTTCAGCCTTGTTCCACATCTAAGCTATGCTTAGAAAACAACCCTAACAAATGTTGTTTTGATGTGACAATACTTATAAATTTTCTTAAACTTGTTCGTCTTTATGTGCTGTGTTCGCTCAGGATGTGGTTGATCATGGCTCTCTCCAACTTCCTGTCCTTTGTAACTTTTAATTAGCTTTGTCTTTCTGTTATTTCTCCTAAGCCCTGTTCCATTATCCATTTACTCAAGCTCATTAAGTATGTTATGTGTTGTTTTCCTCTGTCCTGTGAGTATCAAATTTTCCAAGTCTGCCTTCCTCATGTGCTCCAGAAACCTCAACTGTCTCTTCCTGACATTAAGTATTAGTTTCCTTTTTGTTTCTATTTTCCCCAAACTTTGACAGTGCTCACATGTTGGTCTATGGTATCCTCACCATCTTTCTGTAGAACCATATTTCTGTTGTTTCAAGTCACCTCTTCATTTTTGAACGTGTTAAATAGTTTGTTAATCATAAATCACATTTTTTGATATGAGAATACTTATAGATTTTCTTAAACGACTGTAATTCATTTTTGTTCAATAAAAGTTAATAAATAAAAAAATGACATTACTTTTGACACACCCCTATATTTTTTTATGCCAGAAATAATCGATGGATCACTGACCATCTTTTGCTTAAATTGACAATCTTCACATATGCTGAGCAACATCTGTGGATTTGTCAAGTTGCAACAATATTTTCATGAGACTCACCTTGATAGCATCAATCACTTTTTCTAAAACATCATAGTTCATTTCAACAATTCTGTTCTTGATGACATTGTTGGACATTAGAGCTAGTACCACCATCCTTTCTGCATCTTTTCCTAGAATGATCTCGACAACTTTCAGAGTACAATACTTCACTAATTCTTTAGCGATTGTATGCAGCTTTTTCTTTTTAGCCACTTCATAAGCAACTTTATAGGCTGCTTCAAAGAGGGGTTTTGCAATTGATGTAAATCCCAACTTTGGTAAAGTTCCTTGATGATCAAAATATGTCTTCTTCACCATGAATGTTTATTTTCTTTTTTTGTTATTTCCAACTTCTGTACCTCTGTGTACGCTTTTCTTATCTGGCACCACTAAAGCCATTTTTTTTATTTATTAACTTTTAAATTGATCAAGTTTAGAAATTTTGCTAGTTTTGCATTTGCATTTTTGTCTTATCTGGTGAGGTGTGGAATGATATATCAAGATCTCAGATGGTGCCAGATAAGAAAAGGTTAAGATGCAATGCATGTTTGCTGAAATAATATTGAAGACTTTACCCCACTTGACTGTGAGGGAACTTTAGCTAGCAAACAAGTCTTCAGTATTGTTTCTATAAAAAACTGCCATATATGGTCTGGTGCCCCTTCTGTTTGCCTCGGGGTTCTTGATAGGCTCCAGAGGCAGATATGCAATATAATTGGCCCTGCTCTGGCATCTCGTCTACAGTCACTTTCTCACAGACGCGCCGTCGCCTCTCTCTGTCTGTTCTACAAATATTTTCATGGTAATTGCTCCAAGGAGCTGCATTCGCTTGTTCCCAGACTTCATGAGATCAAGCGCCCTACGAGGTTGGCATCCCGCTCTCACCCCTTCACTGTCGAAACTCCTAAATGTAGCCATCTCTTCTACTCTAATAGCTTCATGTCTCGCATCTCTCACCTGTGGAACTCCCTTCCCTAATCCAGTTTCCCTGAGAGCTATAATCTCCAGCTATTCAAGTGTAATGTCAATCGACATCTCCAGTTGCCTTGATCTATCCACTACCCTTCTCCTCATACCCTCTTCTATCACTCCTATCTGATCTCGCTCTATATTTTCTGTAACCCCTTGCGTCCTAGTGGCTTCCCGCCTTGCTTGGGGTGAGATGCTTAAAAAACAAAACAAAAAAAAACAACTCTTATTACCTGAATCTCTTTAACAATTGCTGCAAATCTTGGGCACTTCTCTGTACATTCATTCATCAAATTCATAGCATTGTCGAAATTCTTCACATACTCAGAATACAACTTCAAAAATGGAGCATTTTTCTTCATGAGATCACCAATCCTTGGTTCTAAATTCCTGCAAAAAAAAAAACAAATGGAAACAAATTGTATTTTTCTGACTTTCAACACCAACTGACACACGAAATATTAGGTTGTCATAAGTAATTTTTTGGGGGGCGGGGAGACCAACTGTTATGACGAATATATCATCCTAACTAACCATTCCTTTAACATATCATAACAGGTGTATGAAAAATGGGTTGTATACAACAATGTTCAATGGAAAAGGCAATGGATAGATAAGGACAGATCTCCACAGCTGACAACAAAAGCTGAGCTCCATAGAAGGAAGGTAACATTGTACTTGTGATGGGATTATTAATGTAGAGTTCTTAAAATGCAATGAAACACTAAATGCACATTTATGCATCCATCAGCTGCAATGTGTTCATAAAACTTTGGTTGAAAAACACCCTTTTGTTCTCCTGCATGAGCTATGACTAAAATAAATTTATTACTAAAAACAAACAAATCAGTGTAAATGACCTCCTAGTGAAACATAAAAAAAATTACACATAATCCACCCATGAGACACAGAGCATGAATAATATGTAACATGTTGAGTCATTAGTATTTTCTGTCTGAGGAAACTAATTGTAATGATGAATGTTACATTCTAATTAATCTTTCTTTAAATATAACAGGTGATGAAAAATGGGTTGTATACAACAATGTTCAATGGAAAAGACAATGGATTGATAAGGACAAATCTCAACAGCTGACAACAAAAGCTAACCTCCATGTAAGGAAGGTAAAATTGTACTTGTGATGGGATTATTAATGTAGAGCTCTTAAAATACAATGAAACACTAAATGCACATTTATGCATCCAGTAGCTGCAACATGTCTATAAAAGCTTGGTTGAAAAACACCGTGTGTTTGTTAATAGGAAAATATTTTTTTTAGACAATGATGGTTTGGTGATTCAAGTCTTATGGTTACAGTGGATTCATACCTAATCAGGATTTGATAAACAAGAAATGATAATGGGGATATAAAGTGGGGCATCTACTCTATATTAAAATCAATATATAAAATAATCCCTCACTTTGTGCTCACTGTAGTTTCTATGTATTTATGTTCCAGAGAATGTAAATAAATCTAGTCTTTTTTTGGGGGGGGTTAAAGATAATAATGATTGAGTGATACAAATCCTACTAATTAACCAATTGCTGTGGGGGGAGAAGAGGTGGATTCATACCCTTCCAAAGGATATTTGTGCATGAACTTGGCTTTCCAATTAACAATTCCAAGACATTCTTCATTACACCACCTACACATCTAAGCTTATAGCAGATGTGGGTGAACTCTATGAAAGAAAGATAATATTGTGCATGTGGTGGGAGTGTCTGGTATTATTCATTTAGAGTTCTTAAAATGCAGTGAAACACTAAATGCACATTTATGCCTCCAGCAGCTGCAGCTTGTCCATAAAACTTTGGTCAAAAACCATGTGTCTGTCAATAAGAAAAATGTTTTTCTCCCCCATGACAGTGCAAGGCTGCATACCATAAGAATAACAGAGGAAAAAATTTGGGAATTCAGTCTGCCATATTCACCTGACTATTGCTGTTGTTCCCAGATCCACCCTGACATGGGGTGGTAACATCTGTTAGAGTCCCAGCTATGGGAAAATAGTTAACCCCTAAACTGAAGTTTGGAGGTTAATTAGGAAAGTATAAAAATATTATGAAAGTATAAAAATACATTTTAATAGTAAAAATACCTGCAATAAATTTTTGAAAAAAGAAAATTACCAGCAATACATTTTTGTAAAGAAAATTACTAATACTCCCAAGAAAATTAAATTTCAGCATTAAATGACCCATTAAGGTGTTGATGAGCTGTTAAACAAACAAACAGCATTACATTTTTCAATCACTGCAAAACACTTTGATGAGGGAAACTTTTCTAATTAAAACCAAGTTCAAGAGTTTGTCAAAAAATTTTTTCACATCAAGACGTACTGAATTTTACTCAAAAGGTATCAAAGAGCTACCAGATAAGTGGCAAGAAAACCGAAGAAAATGTACTTTATATTTTTAAGAATAAAATTAACAAAAAGAAAACAAGAATTATTTATGAATCAACCTAACATGACTCTTCTCACTTAATTACCATCATTTATGTGCCATGTGTGATACATTCTTAGGCAATCATGTATCTTTCGATACATGACTGACAAGGCAGATTTTTTCCCACGATAGATTGCCATTTCTTTCAGCAGTAAACCAGTTGCTGTTCAAGGCTATAGAACCCGGTCTGTTCTGCTATTTACTCATAGCTGGGGGAGAAGTAAAAGATTCATACCTTTAAGTGAATGTAATGGATTCAACTGGAATTCGAACTCAGTTCTCCGATTCCTCAATCCAAGCCAATATCCATAACTTCACCATGCCTCCTCATTACCATCAATTTTCCAAAAGATTATTTTTGTAAAAATTATAAAAACTAACATATAAAAAAAAGGATTATTGAAGCAAGAGGGCCAATTATCTTGTCCGATATTAAATTTTTTTTTTGGTGTTATTTTTTTTTTTTATTGTTTGACATTAAAATAAAAATTTTGTTGTGGGCATCTGTTGAAACTTGACTAATGCATGGAATAATAATGCAACACAAAATGTACTTAGAACAAAATGTATTGAAACAAGAAAGTGTACACAATATTTACATATATTCTTTTGTATATTCCTGGTAAGACCGTTCCTGGAGAATGTGTTGACTGAGTCGCAGTCGGACAGAGTCTCTGGTTGAATCTCTTGATTCCTCCCTCTCTTCCCGGTACCAACCATATTTATATGGTCTGTACTCCACTATGCAAATTAGGTGGATCCTACCACAACAGCATCATAGCAGCCATCCATGCAACTATCAGTTTCATGAGCATCTACAGTTTTTTTCAAATCAAGGCAGGCATTAACATCACTGTACGCCTTACAAAAAGACCATAACCTTTCTTGATATGAGATATTCTTTCCTGCAGTTGATTATAAAAAGGATAGACAATAAATGTGCATGTTGAACATCTGTAATAACATCTTAAGTTGGCCTGGGGAAATTAAATACTATAAGCACCAGAAAGTCATTGTTGATGATTGTGCATTTTGGAATGCATGAAAAAACAATAGTTGCACAACCAACCATTACACCAACACCATTTTGAAATTCATATAATTACTCTGCCATTAAAAATGTATTGAGTACTATTTCAGGTGTTTTCATATTGCTCCTGACAGAGTGATTTTTGTCTTATAAATGCCCACACACACACACACATATATATATATATATATATATATATATATATATAAAATAGCACACAATGAAGAAAGAACATATATAATTAATGTGTGTGTGTGTGTGCGAACATATATATATGTGTGTGTGTGTGTATGAAAATTTCAGATAGAGTATATCTGTAAAAAACAATATTGAACAAAGACAAAAGGAAAACTTAACCGACACATCTTGGTTTTGTCTTCTGATGGACTTCATCAAGTCAAATGCAAGTATTTTATTTTGTAACAACTATTTATATACAAGAGCAAAAATGTTATTGCTTTTAAAAAATTTTTAAATTTAAGAACGCTCATAAATATTCATCAAGTTGGTCGAAAAGTCAAGCAAGCTATGAAGAACAAGAAGTCACTTACTTTCATTTATTAGACATTTTGCCCAAGACATAATATGCATGAGTAAATAACTACCAATATGGAGGCAGCTGATTAAGAGTACAGTGAACTACAACCACACCTGATTGTGGGACTGACAATGATGAAACACAATGACATGAATGGTTTCTCTGTTATTATTTCTCTCTCTCTCTCTCTCTATATATATATATATATACATATATATATACATATATACATATGAAGAAAAATATATGGAAAAAACAAACAAAAATCCTAATATGCAATTATGCTGTTTTAATGTTAATATAATGTCGACATCAGACGTTTCGGTCTAGTAGACCATCTTCAGGACATATTCATAAAACATAATTAACATTAGACTATATTAAATTCAACATGAAAAGACGATGGACATAAGAGTAAGACTAATCAAAACAAAATTAATTATGTTTTATGAATATGTCCTGAAGATGGTCTACTAGACCGAAACGTCCGAGGTTGGCATTATATTAACATTAAAACAGCATAATTGCATATTAGGATTTTTGTTTGTTTTTTCCATATATTTTTCTTCATACTGTCGGATCTATATCCATATATTTGCTTATATATACATATATACTAATGAACAACATATAGTTTTGTACCACTTGAACAACTGGAGATGATCTTGGAAAAAAATCAAAAGTACTTGGGAAATGAAAATAAAAGAAATTTAAACAGCTATAGCACATTTTTCTCATCCTTTAACATCAATACACGGAAGGTTATTCATGAGTATCAACGGATTTTATTAAAAATTAGCAGACATAATGTCTGCAATTTATTCAATTAGACATGTCTAAAAGAGAATTTTCTGCCTAAATACAAATATATATATATATATATATATATATATATCTTACATTGATTGCACAACTATACATATACGTATATTTACTCATTATATACTGTGTGCCAAATTATTATCAAGATAACTTTTTTCTAATATTTCAAAAACTGTCCAATCAATTCACACAAAATTTTCACACAATGTTGGCAACACTGACCTACGCAATCACTGAAATTTTTGTACTGATCTGCGCAATGTAAACAAACTGGCACCATATTTGTTATCAGCACGGTGATTTGAGCGTGCCAAATTATTAGAAAAGTGTAAGAATTTAGTGAAAAAATGGGCCGTAAAAGCAGTTTAAGTGATGCTGAAAAGAAAACTATCACCTCAGAACTTTCAAAAGGTAAATCTATCCTAGAAATTTCTAAAATTATAGGGAGGTGTCATCAAACAATGAAAAAGTTTGTGTGAAAATT